ATTCGCAGGACTCGCCCGGCAGTCCGACTGCCAGGCTGGACTACTGCCTATAGAAGCCGTCGAAGCCAATTTTTTAAGTTGAACGTGTCGTGTCATTTTGAGTAGCTTCAACCCAGCATTGATTTTTTTAAAAATCTCTGTCAGCTGACTGCCGAACCAAACCTTTGCAGTGGCACCATAACAGAATCAAAATCAACTTCGTCACTACCAGAATTAAAAAAAAAAATAAATTAAAATTAAAAAATTAAAATTAAATAAAAATTAAAAAAGTTTTTGACTATACGAGGAGTTTTTTTGCCAGTGCAGGAGGCCACCCACTGGGTTAACCCACTCCGTGCTGCGGCCTGGCCTGGCGGCCCGGCGGTGCGGTTCGCTGCTCCCAGGAGCTCCTCTCTTCTTGTCAGACGGCAGCGAAGAGGGCAGAGAGCATCGAACGTGTAACTCAACGTCTCTGCAGTGGGGCGCGATTGCCACGGTTCCCAGGTAGCACAGCCACCCCACCCCCACCCCTCGCCCCGCTCGTCGGACAACTACAAGGTACAACGCAGACTCTCTGGGGCCCGTTTATATTTTCACCAGTGAGTTACTGCCTGCGGCTGGCGCGGAAATTTTATCTATGGCTGGAATTAAAAGGGGCCTGATGAGGGCGAGGGTGGGGAATGGCTGGGCCGCGCGTTGAAAGCGTGTTGAACGAACGGTGGAGCCGCGGCTACGGGTTGCGATATTGGCCCAGCGTGAACGGAGGGCGTCATCATGGCGACCGCCACACTGCTGACCAGGCAAACTCCGCCGCAGTCAGCACGGCCAGCACGGCCATGTCCGAACGTGCTGCGGCACACACTGATCCGGGGCGCGCCGCGGTACAGTGCGCGCCAGAACGCACACACTTGCAGTGCTCACTGCGCACCACACAGTGGGCCAGAGGACCGGTGGAATCGGCCAAAAGTATAGACGCGTTTTGAGCTCCAGAGTCGCTAAATGGGACTCGAACCCAGCGTGTGACCCCACCAATGGATTGCTCTGCGAACGAGGAGTCCATTGGTGGGGGTCACACGTTCGGTTCGAATCCTGTTTAGCGACTCTGGAGCTCAAAACGCGTTTTGTCCGCCTCCGCCGTTCTTCTGGCCCACTGTGAACCGACCGCACAAAAGCACACACTCGCAGTGTACCCAGCACGGTACAGTCCACGCCCAAACGACCGCGGTGGGACGCAGGACGCACACACTTGCGGCGCTTGCGGTGTGCCGACCTGACTGTACCCGCCCCGCCCCGCCACGCCCCGCCCCGCCCCGCCTCGGTGGACCCCTCGGCGAACCCCTTAAACGGCCGGTGGATGCGCCGGCAGGCCGGCAGGGCGCAGGGCGGCAGGGCTTGGGGGAAGTTAGGCAAGTGATGTACGCGGCCGGGTCGACCCTGGCAGGGGGAGGGGGCCCTCTGCCGCCCTCGGGGTGGCTGGGGCCAGGCTGGGGCAGGCTGGGCCAGCGGCGTGGTTTTGATGCCGGCGCTTAATGGCGGCGCGAAGCGAGAGGGCCAGGCACTAGTTGTCCTGCTGCAGGTGCGGCACGCTGCACTGGAAGTTACCGCCTCCACCAGGGCTCCAGCGACCGTGCCGAACCTCCAGGCACCGTCAGAAACAAATCCACCACACTGTACAAAATCATTCCTAGTCTGGAAATTCAATTTTATCGAACAGCAGAACTGCAAGTGCGTCTGTGTGTCGTGTCGGTGTGTGCGTGCTGGACACAACGGTGTGGGGGACGGCCGGTCCGGGATTGGGTTGACGTCGGCGGCTTTTACTGCTGCTTGGGTTTGCAATCGTGAAGCAGGCCTCCACCGGATTCCCGTTTTACGGTGCAACGGTTTCCGGTGGGTCGATAGGTAGGGCGGCCAGGCAGCCAGGCAGGCACTGGGTTAAGGCCCCGGCTGCAGCACGCCGCCACCTGAGCCAAGTCCAGGCCTCCGGGCTTCCGGGCCAAGTGGAGGTTGCTGGGGCCCCTGAGGCCCTCCCTGAGGCCCCTGCATGCTGCAAGGCGAGAGAGAGAGAGAGAGGGGGGGGGGAGTGTTTTGACCGTCATCAGGGCGTCGAAAACGAAAAGAAAAACATGGATGAATTAACACACACGTACACTACCTCACTCACACTCACACACACGTACGACGATGACCGGCGCGATCTTTATCGATAATGTGCTTTGCAGTGATACCGACCTGCGCGGCCGAGCGACGCCGAGCCACGCGGTGGGCCGGTGTCGACCGCCACTCTCGGAAACAATTAAACTTTATTCTGCGTTCTCAGAAGTTGACTAAAGGGTCTCACTGCGGACCGACTGCCGCGACGAAGAGGCTCGACTATCAACCGACTATTTATCTGTCGTTTATTTGTTGTTTTTGTTTTGCTAGGTAACACTATCATGACTAACGAGGGCTCTAGGAAATATGGATCTTTATTTCACAATTTATTTATTTTTCGACAAAAACAACTGTAGTTGTGTTGATAAAAACCGCACCTGTTAAGCTTTTTTTTTTTTTGTAAACCGGGCATTGGTGGTAAAATTACAAGCGGGTTCCCGACGGTGTGGCCGCGTCGCAAACCATCACGCAAACCGGTCGATGTCGGTTCGCCGCAAACTTGGGCCGCGCCAGAGCCGTGTGACAATGACAACGCCGAAACCGCGAAAGCGCGATCGGCGCGCCGCGACGTCCCTCTCTCTCGCACTCGTGGGGCGTCCCGTCCGGAGCGGCGACACACTGCTGCGTGTCACGGTCCACTGTGTGTGCAGATCTAGCGAGCTCTAGCGAGCTCTAGCGCCGTCTGTTTACCTGTTTACCGGCTGCTCCGCGGATTGTTTGCCCTTGTCTCGGCACGCCGTGGAACGCGCCGTGGAACGCCGTAACACGCCGCCCGCCCGCACGGCCACGTTCCAAGTTACGAGAGCCCAGCGGCGTAACGGCGTTACCGAATTTATGGACAGGCTTTGCTCGGCCCTTCTCTCTGCGCCTCCGCCGCGGCCACCCACGCGCTGTCTCTCTCGCACTCACGGACGGCACGCGGCGGTGCGAGAGAGACAGCGGAGACGCAGTTTGGAACGAGCCCCTGCTATCTCCTGCCGGCCGGAGGACACGACCCTGGTCACGCTTGAGTGAATGGCGGCCTGCACAGTGGGCCAGAAGGCCGGTGGAGGCGGCCGAAATGCCGGACGCGTTTTGAGCTCCAGAGTCGCTAAATAGGACTCGAGCCGAACGTGTGACCCCACCAATGGACTCCTCGTTCGGAGAGCAATCCATTGGCGGGGTCACACGTTCGGTTCGAGTCCCGTTTTGCGACTCTGGAGCTCAAAACGCGTCCGGGATTTCGGCCGCCTCCACCGGTCTTCTGGCCCACTGTGACCGGCGGGCGGACGCACACTATCGACGCGGCACTCGAGGCCGAGGACGGCGTCGTGAGGCGATGGAGGCGATGCCAGGCGATGCCGTTTACGAGCGACTATCGCCAGACTCGTCTGGCAGTGCGTCCACTCTGCGTCGCGCGCCGGATTAGATTTTGCGGCGCCATATTGGATTACTTGCAGCGCCACGATGATGGCCTCGGGGGGTCGAACATCGGAGATCGAACATCGGCCGGCCGGGTCGCCTCGCCGGCAGGATCGATTCTCATCATCGAGAGCAAATATAAACGCGCCACAAAATCCTCCTCATGCGTAAAACGTGCATGAAAAGTTTTCAAATTAAATGAATCATCCGGACAACGCGGTGCCGGCCGAAGCTTAACGCCAGTTACCCCGCGTGGCGTGTAAACAGTGTAAACACGCGTCCGGAATGGGGCGATAATGAATCGCGCGTTTTGCGGACGCTCGCCGGGCTGTCAAAACATACACTGCAGAGCCAATGCGGATAGAGGCGGGTGTTTGCGCTCCAAAAATCGTATAAAACAAGTTCTCCCCCGGGAGAGCCCCGCTGCAGGCTGGGAGCCGCTGGGGCACTGGTAGGCTGGCAGTCTGGAAGGCTGGGAGGAAGGCAGTGTCCCTGCGCTGAGCCACGTGATTCAGTTTCGGAGAGACGCCGCCGAATTTCCATACCAGCGACTCGCGGATTCCAGGAGCGCCTCCGGCACGCCTCCGCGGACCGACGGGCCGACGGCACCGACTCCGAACGGGCGCCGTCGCTCTGTCTCTCTCGCACCCTCACCCTGCGGCCCGGCCCGCGAGCGCGAGAGAGACGACCCTCTGGACTCGGCGGCGGTGCAGTGTGGTCATGTAGTCCGCCGCCAACGCGCCCCTCGGGGAGGGGATGATTATTGTGGCACCAATATTATACTACCCCCATATCCCCCCTCCCCCCTCCAGGAACGCGTGCTGGGGAGGGTTTTACCGCCGTGGTTGTTCCGATGGAATGGAGGGGGGCAGACGGGTATGAGTATGAGTTGCACCATCGGCAAGGAGGAAGTGGTATTCGCGTTATTGGCGCAACAGCAACGAAACGCGGGTTCTTGGCGCAAAGTCGGGGGCGAGGCACAAACCGAGCGTGTGACCCCCACCAATGGATTCCTCGTTCGGAGAGCAATCCATTGGTGGGGTCACACGTTCGGTTCGAGTCCCATTTAGCGACTCTGGAGCTCAAAACGCGTTTAGAGTTTCGGCCGCCTCCCCCGGTCTTCTGGCCCACTGAGTGAGGCGCTCGAGGCGCCGGAGGCAAAGAACGCCACTGGGAAGTCGCTTGAAAGCCAGCCGTCCCGGGCAGACGTTGACCTGTGCTTCCTTGTTGCAGGCCCTGCAGGCGTCGTGCCCTGGGCTTCCCGCGGGCCTCGCGGGCCTCGCCGGCCTCCCCCGCGGGCGTGGCCGTGGTGGCCGCGCCGCGCCTCGCCACGTCGTCGTCCGCGTTGCGCCGCCAGTCGCTGGTGGACCTGAGGGAGGACGATGAGGCCCCGGTGACCCCGCGCTCCGAGCTGCGGGCGGGCCGCCGGCGACCACAGCGCACGGCCTCGGTCGCGGCGCCCGGCGGCAGCGGCGGCAGCTCGCCCTTCTGGTCGACGCCGCACAAGGAGCGCGACAAGGACAAGGAGAAGGAGCACCACAACGCGGCCAGCGCGGGCAGCTCGCCCAGCACCCCCAGCAAGCTCATGAAGGGCCGGCACCAGTTCAAGCGGCGGTTCTCGCTGCAGCCCTCATTCCTCAAGGACGACCACCATGGCCTGGACGACAGGCACGGACACAGGTGAGTCGACACACCGCATGCCGGTGAATGCTCTCCACTGCGCGACATTGAAAGCAGGACTGTAGTTGCCATCGCATGCCAGGTTAGGTTCTTGCAGCGGTTTTCGACCTTTGTGGTTGCGGAAAATATGTTCCAGGGTTGAGGCCTGGTGGCTGGGGTTGCGTAAGGTCGCAATATCCCTTCATTCTGTAGAGGCACGTAATGCAAAACGCGTTTTTTCTTTTTTTTTCCTTCAAAAATTGAGTTTTGCCAAATTGCGTTCAACTTAGATCTGCTGCGGTTTTGACCAAACTTTACAGTAATATTTTTTCAAAGTTGGATTTTTCTTACACTTGATGGCTCAGGTTTGGGCGCTCCACGCAGAGGGGCGAGGGGGTTGATCTGGCACGGGTCTCCTGCTGACGCACCGCCGCGCCACGCCCTACTTACTGGCGCAGAGATAACCCGGGACAGCTCACTCTCTCTCCCCCTCGCCGCCCCCTCTCCCTCTCCCTCCCACCACCGAGTCGGCTCGGCCGGCCCGCAGTCATTAGTGTCCTTTGTGCCACACGTCGCATGTCACGGCGTCACGGCCGCGTCAAGGTGTCACGGCGTCGCGCGGCCGCGCCACCTGCCGGGGCAATGCGGGGCACTGGGAAATCAGCACTCTGTGGAGCCTGCAGCCGGTGCCACCGAGGGTGCCACCCCAGAACCCTCCCATGTTCGATCTCAGACACTTGTGGACGCGGTCCGTTCCAAAGTAATACTACTGTCGTAAACTCCCCCCCCCCAAAAAAAAAAAAAAAAAAACTACACCTTGAGGGGAGTCGAACCCATGCCCACGCTGCTCAAGGCCGAACCGATCGAAGTCCGAACCAACTGCGCTACCAACGCCGTAGCGGCAGGCATTCATAAAAATTGGCCCATCGATACCCGGCGCACGCTGGCACACTGGCACTCTAGCCAGCACTAGCGCACATGAGGGCCTCCGCTCACACGCGCTATGTTCGCGTTTTGGGCAACCCCCGAGCGCGGGGCATCGCCGGCCGATTTCTGGATATTTTTTTTCGGCCTGGATATACATGAAGGGGCGTGGGCCAGCGTGTGTGCTGCAACAAGTCCTGCGTTCGCGTCGCGGTTCGCGTGCCCCTGGCCGTTTCTCTGTCTCTCTCGCACGCACGGAGCGAGCGGCGCCGTGTCTGCAGGCAGGCGTGGGCCGTTCCACGCAGACGAGAGCCGCGAGTGCGAGAGAGACGGAGCAACGAAAACGACTCCGGGCCGATTGCGCCTCCAGAGCCAGCCGCGCGTAAAGGGCTCCTTAAAGGCCATATCGCCGACGCCGCTTTTTTTAGCATCGATGGGAAAAACTGTGGCTCGGCGACACGGACGGCGGCGGCGCGCCGTGCAGCCGTCGAGGACGCCGTTGAGGACGCCGTCGAGGAGGCCGTCCTGGAGGACGTTTTATGAAGGAATAAAATGGCACTGGCTGCCGCGCTGGCTGCTGCACTTGAGACTGTCTCTCTCGCACTCACACGGCTCGCCCCACGAGTGCGAGAGAGAGGGAGACAGAGACCTCCGCCCGGAATCAGTCTGCTGCAGGGCGTTCGTCGAGCGGCTCGTAAAGGAAGTCAAAACGCCGCCATTTCTCAAAGTCGCGGCCCACGCCAGCCGAACAGTGGCGTCGCTCTGTCTCTCTCGCGCCCATACGGGACGCGCCGCGAGTGCGACAGAGACAGAGCGACGGGGCCGGGCGAGGCTGTCGAGGCGCCCCGCGTAATCTCAGTCCCCGCCTTGCCTTCCCGGCCCTCCCGGCCCACGCCGAGGCTGCCGAGGCCCACGCGGACTAAACCGGAACCCCGCGGGACTGCCAGTGGAGGAGGTTGGGGGAGGGGGCGGGGACAGGGACACTACTTTGGCTTTTCGAGAACCACTCTTTTGTCTCTGTTGTAATTTTCGGGCTTCGTTATCAACATTGAGATGGGTTGAAAATAAAACGGATTCGGGTCATACTTTTTGTCCAGCAGTTTCATTATTTATTTTGCTTTAAAATAATTATTTGTAATTTCATCATATGAAAGTTTGCTCTTTGGGTGGTAAAGTTTCGGAGTTCGAACTGTCGACGATCTCATTTGGGAGCCGCTTTCCCTCGCCTCTCGCCACGGCGAGCGCGGTGGACGCGGGCCGAGTCCTCGCCGTGGCGGTGGAGGCCGTAGCGGTGGAGGCCGTGGTGGCCGGAACCTCGCGCCGGAAGCCCGGTGACAGATACCCGGTGCGAAGGCGCCGCCGTGCTCGCTGGCATCGCTGGCCACGCCGCGACGTGCCCGCCCCGCCCCGCCCTGGTGCTCCGACGCCGCGACTCCGCGGCGGTGGCCAGGAACCGGAAAAAGTGGAAATGAGACTCCATTTCGCCTCCTGCCCTTCCATTCCCACTTCGGGGACGTCCTCTGCGGGGGTGGGGCGGGGTGGGGGCAACCAAATCCCCCCCGACCAGCCAGCCACGCCAGCCAGCACCCCCCGACCAACTTGTATTGTGACTCTCATCTCCATAGTCAAGTACATCCCCTAGCAAGGCGAGCAGGGCGAGTGGCGCGGAGTACCTCGCAGTGACACCGTGATACCCCCCTCCACCCCTTCCCCTGCCCCCTCGCTCTTCAATTTCAGCCACCCGCCCGTTCGGCACAGACGCACAGAGCGACTGGGATCGGCGCGTCAGCGACGTGTGCGTCCCCCCCCCCCCCCCCTCCCCGCCGCCTTCCACCCGGCTGCTGCTCTTTTAATGATGCGCCGTTTAAAAACAGCGAGAAAAAATTAAACGTGGATGAATAAAAGATGACCATGACGCGCATGATTAATGAGCAGGATAACGATACGTCCACTTATTACGTCACGTCGCCGTATAACGGCCCGAGGGGTGCGCCTGTGTTTATGTTTGTTGTTGTGTTTTTGCTCTTAGATTGTTTACCTGGAAAGTTGTAATGTTTTACGGTGCACCCGCGCTGTTGCGCCGTGCCGTGCGTCGGCGTGGCACAGTGGGCCAGAAGACCGGTGGAGGTGGCCAAAAGTCCCATTTAGCGACTCTGGAGCTCAAAACGCGTCTAGGGCCTTGGCCGCCTCCACCGGTCTTCTGGCAAATCCACAGCGACGGGCGCCGCGATGACGGCCTCCTCGTTGCAGGGGCGGCGCGCACGCGGCCGCGACGGACGCCGACGGCGAGGGCGAGGTGCCCGGCGTGGCGGGCGCCAAGGTGCGGCACAAGGTGGTGGTGCTGGGTGCCGCCAAGACGGGCAAGTCGGCGCTCATCACCCAGTTCCTGTACAACACGTTCTCGCCCAAGTACAAGCGCACCGTCGAGGAGATGCACCACGGCGAGTTCAGCGTCAACGGGGTGAGTACACTGACAGCCCGGCGACAGGCTGCAGGCTTTGCGACCAAACTCTGGACATTGGTTTCCCTCGGCTTTCATCAAGGCTCGCATCAAGGCGGCAGCAGACAGGCCAACCCGCAGTGCTGCAGCACCACGACGGTCCCCCAATTTTCGACCCTTTTTTCCAGAGGGAGCACAGTTTGATTAAATAAGCCCTTTCAGGGCCTTCCTCGTGTCCCTTTTCTACCCTCGGAAATTTCTCAATCCCTCGCCAGCTACGCAAAGGGGCGCGCTCACCGCACCGAAAAATGTGCTTACGTAATATGTGGAACGCCGTGCCGTGCCCTGCCAGCCCTCCAGAAAGGGCCGGGGACTCGGGGTCTCCCTTGGCGGGGCTGGCGGGGCAGGCAGCCCTTCGGCCTGGCTGGAAAAGGCCTGACACCGGCACGGCTTCACACGGACATTGAAATTCATCACACTTTCCTCTCGAGCCCAAGCGGCCCGCTTCGCTCCGTCTCCCCGACTCCCCCCTCCTCCGTCGCCATCCTCCGTTTGCATGGGTGAACATGGAGTGCCCCCTCCCCCTCCTCCCTGGAGCTTTCCCCCTCCCCGTCGCCCTCGGCAGCGTTTCTCTATATTTCCTTTTCTAACCACTATACACACCCTCCATCGTCGGCACGCCAGCCCGCGGTGAACGGCGGCGGCGCGACCCTCTGGGCGCCCCGCCCCGCCCCGCCCCGCCCCGCCCCGCCCCGCCCCGCCCCGCCCCGCCCCGCCCCGCCCCGCCCCGCCCCGCCCCGCCCCGCCGTGCCTCTGACATGTCTTGAGTGCGGGGCTGGCGCGAGCGCGTTACCGTTCCGAAGAACTGTCCGTAAAAAAAACGGGTTATACTCACCCAGGACCACGAGCCAGGCAACCACCTCGAAAACAGCGAGGCGAGGGAGAGGCTGTCAAGCTCTGCACGTGCATTCGGGGCGGGCTCTCCCCGGGACCGCGCCAGAGGGGACGGATCGACAATTATCTCGTATATTGGGCTGGGATGAGTCCCTGGGACGGGGTGCAGGGGTGTGGACCCGTGGGGGTGTGCTTCAGGTGTAGGGGCGTAGGGTGTAGGCGCGCGGGCCTCTGCCGAGAGTCGTCGCTCTGTCTCTCTCGCACCCGTACGGGACGCCCCATGAGTGCGAGTGAGACAGAGCGACGACCCGGCTGGTAATTGCCGCCCGGCCCCCGGCCTAGCCCCGGTCGTGGTATCGCCGGAGGCCTTGCCGGAGGCCGAGCCAGACTATCCAACCTCGCCAACGCCGCCGAGCGCCGCCAAGTCTGCCAAGCCCTGGCCAAGCCACGTCGCGGCGCTGCAATCTTGTGGCTCACTGGATCGGAACCATCGGACCGAGCATCGGACCGAGCATCGGACCCATTTACAGGCCCGGCCCCGCGGCCCGGCGCGAGGCTAGGCTAGGCTTGGCTAACCTTTCGGTGAGACTAGCCATTCCGGAGCGCTTGGTGTGCCTACACTCGAAATGAAAGCGTGCTGCGAACAACGTGGCGCCACGGTCGCGCGCGTTGCCACAAGGATTTCAAAAACTTCCGCCGGGGAACTTTTCCCCGGGCGTTCCCTCCTCGCGGCCTGGCGGCGTGAAGCGAAGGCGAGCCTATTAGCCCGGTCGCTGAACTGGTTCGAGTCGAGCTCTTTATCTAGGCAGCGTGGTGCCATTAGGTGTGGGAGGCCGCGGGTGGGGAAGAGCACTCCGGCAGAAGCTTTCCACGGAAGCATCCTCGCCCTTCGCCCAAACTTTACCGATCCCTTGATTATTGGAATCCACAGCCAGCAGTCCATCATCACGCAGTCGCCAATTTCAGAATCACTAATAGTCTCAACGAATTTTTCCCAAAGACACTTCTCTCAGGAGAAACTAGTTATGAAGGAACCCAAAATTTTCCACCAGTAAAAAACTGTTTTAAACATTTTTATTTTAAAAATTCCATTTTTGGCGCGGAAATTTTGACGGCGCTAAAAGGGCTTTGACCTTTCCTGCGGCAGCGGTACCGCCCAGCGGGTTCGCCCTCCAGGACGGGATCTTGGCTCGCGACGCCGCGGCCGCCGCGACGGCTGGCGATACCTCTGGACCCAATTACCGATTATTTAGGGGCTCCAATAATTCCCGTCTGGAAGTAATAAGGGTGCGCCAAACTTTTTTCCCCACTTAGCGGGCTGCGGTGGGGCGGCAGGGCGCCGACGCCGAGCCCAATCGAGGAAACGGAATTCATTACCGAAATTGTTTTCAAATTTAATTACGAGCTGCTTTTTCATTTCCGGGCGGGGCCACGTGACCGGCTCGTCACGGGGCGCTCGGTGGTCACGTGACGCGCCACGGGGCGGCCAGCAAGGCCAGCAAGGCCCGGTATGGCCGGTACCTCGGTCAGACTGGCGGCCCGGCCAATGCGGCTATTTTGATCGGTTCGCCTATTTGAGGCCCCGCCGAGGGTTGCCCGCCGCCCCCTGGGGCCGACCGGACCCCGCCCGCCCCCTACACCGTTAAAACAAGGCCATGAAATCTTTTCTCTCGGAGACGACTGTCCATGACCGTTGGTGGGTGCTGCCGTGCTGTCCGCGGCGTCCCCTCACGCTGTCCGTCAGGCCGGTCAGGCCAGGGGAGCCCCGCCCCGCCCCGCCCCGCCCCGCCCCGCCCCGCCCCGCCCCGCCCCGCCCCGCCCCGCCCCGCCCCGGCGGCAGAAACCTTCCAATCCAATCTGCGCTGCTTCTGCTCCACCAGTCTCGCCAATCCAAACAGCTTATTTCCCCCAATTTCCTGCAGCAGCGGCGGCAGCAGAGCTTGTCCGGAAATAAAGAATGAATCACGCGTCGGCCGTCCTGGCCGCACTGCAGACTGATTCCGAGAGCCGTCGCTCCGTCTCTCTCGCACTCGAGGGGCGTCCCGTACAGGTGCGAGAGAGACAGAGCGACGAAAACGCCCCTCGGAGCCAGTCCGCTGCGCCCTGCAGCGCTGCGGTTTGGTCATCACGGAGACGTCACCTCGCTCCCGGCCGGCAGCGCACCCCGTCGTGTCCTGGGCGCCAGATAACGAGAAAAAGTCAGCGGGGACGTTTCGGGACGTGCTTCCCCTTAACTTTTTATTTTTATTTTCATTTTTTTCCGCCGTGCTCTGTCAGCACTGCGCGTCGGGTCGTCGTCCTCCTCGTGGCCCACTCATCCAGCCCACTCAGTCGCTCCTGAAAATCCCAGACGAGCTCCAGAGTCGCCAAACAGGACTCGAACTGAACGTGTGACCCCACCAATGGATTCCTCGTACGGAGAGCAATCCATTGGTGGGGTCACACGTTCCATTTGAGTCCCAATTAGCGACTCTGGAGCTCGAAACGCGTCTACAGTTTTGGCCGCCTGCGCCGGTCTTCTGGCCCACTGTGCCAGGCCTCGTCATGATTCCGCCTTAGCCCGGTCCAACTCACGAGGCCCCACACTGCCGTGTTCCACCGAGCGGCCGAAATGACGAGATGAAAACGTTTCCGAGCGGACAAGGCCTCCGAATGGACCTGTTGAGTGGCCGCGGCGGGTCAGGGGGAGGGCCAGGAGAGGTTGTGCGGGGGAGTCAGAGAAAGAAAGGGAGAGCGAAAGGAAGAGGATGGGATGATTGTCATCGTACCTCCAAGCCATTTCCCCCCTCAGCCTGTCCGTCTGTCTGTCCGTCCGTCCGTCTGTCTGTCTGTCTGTCCGTCTGTCTCACGCAGGATCGGCCGAACACCTTGCTGCGGGATTTTCTTCATACATCCGCTTTGGCGGAGACGCTATGGAGGATCGGGGGGAGGGGCGGGGAAGTCGGGGAGGGGAGGGGGGGCGCTCCCCGGGGGCGAGACAAGGACGTTCGCCCACCCTCACATGAGCACACACGCACACACGCCCACGGCAACTCACTCTCACTCCATCTCTCTCAATCGCCCTCAACTTACACAGTACCATTGGGTTAGATCAGACGCGTTTTCAGCTCCAGAGTCGCTAAATAGTTCTCGAACCGAGAGTGTGACCCCACCGATGGATTCCTCGTTCGGAGAGCAATCCATTGGTGGGGTCACACGTTCGACTCGAGTGCCATTTAGCGACTATGGAGCTGAAAACGCGTCCGGGATTTGGACCGCCTCCACCTGTGCCTGCAGGTGAACCTGACCCTGGACATCCTGGACACAGCCGGCTCGTACGAGTTCCCCGCCATGCGCGCGCTGTCCATCAAGTCGGCCGACGCCTTCGTGCTGGTGTACGACGTGACGGACGCCGACACCTTCGAGGAGGTCCGCACCACCCGGGACCAGATCCTGGAGGCCAAGGGCGCGGACTCGCCCATCGTGGTGGTGGGCAACAAGATCGACCTCCTGGAGAGCAAGGAGCGGGAGGTAAGTCGGGGACCTCCGGATTCCACGATCGTCGCGGGGCGCAGCAAATAACCCCCACTCTGCCCCCAGGTGGAGCTGGACACGACGGAGACGGTGGTCACGGTGGACTGGGAGAACGGCTTCGTGGAGGCGTCGGCCAAGGACGGCACCAACGTGCCGCAGGTGTTCAAGGAGCTGTTGTCGCAGGCCAAAGTCAAGTACAACTTGAGCCCCGCCCTGCGCCGGCGCCGGCAGTCGCTGCCGCCGCACCCCGGGCCCGGCGGGCCGTCGACGCCGTCCTCGGCCGCCATCCCCTCCCCCGCGCAGCTCCAGCACCTCCAGCAGCTGCAGGAGCGGCACGCGGGCGGCAAGAGGAACAGCTGCGTCATCTCGTAGGGCTGCCTGGCCTTGGCCCTGGCCTCCAGGGTGGGAACCACATTCGACCCAGTGTCCGATGAGTCCGAACCCGCCGCCGCCCACACTGTAACTTACGGTGTGTACTCCGCACACAACGGCACGCGCGGCTGCGCAGCGCCGGCTACGCGGGTTCCATATATGTATTATTTTGTTTTTGTCTTTTCTTCTCCAACTACTGTCATTTTTTTGTGTAAAGGTTTCCGAAACCGTTCGTTTAGGTATGTCTGTTGCGAAAGAATGAACTCTGTGACTCTATCTGTGTGGGGTGTATGCTTTCAATATTTTCTTGCAAGATCCAGCCTTAGGCATCAGGTTTCGTAAAAAAAAAATGAAAAAATTGTTGTGCGTCAATTTTATTGTTTGGAGTTTTGTTTCTCACGAATAAATTGGCTGTGAATGTGAGGCAGTCGTGGCAAAGTTAAAAAAAAATTAGTTTGCTCGATTTTCTTGTGAAACTGTTCAGCAACCAGAAAAAAAGAGTTCCTCAAATCATGCTCACTTTGCATTTTAAAAAGTCTCAAAGCTTGCAACAGATCTTAACTAATTTTATCGAATTTCTGGACGCTTTCGGGCACAGTTGAAAACACAACAGCCCTCCCCGTGAGGTAATTCAACCAGACAGTTTCTCCCACCAGTGAAAATTTACCTCCCCTTGACCAATTTATTTGTCTCAAGTATGCCTTATCCAAAATTATTTTCATTGAGAATCCAAATTGTTCCATCATCTCCCTCCGAGTGAAGAGTTGAATCCTCTTGACGCGTGTTGCTTCGGCTGCTTGCATTCGCCGGGTGTGTTTGTATTTATTTGGGACTGCACACTGTCAGTGGAGAGGCCTCAATGCTGAGGGGTGTGCCGGCAGGTGAGGTACGCAACCCCGCAACGCTGGCAACGAAGGCGTGACTACCACGCGCAGCACCCTAAATGACTTTGTTGGATTTTTTGGTAGGAATAGGGAATTCCAAGCGGCACGTGTAACTTAGTCTCTGTGTCAACTTGTTCCAATAAGTACCCAGAATTACGAGTGTATAAAAGGATACTTTGTGTGTGAGATATAAATTACGATATATTTCTCGAAAAATTTCTTGGACATTCTCTATCGTAGAGCTTGAACAGGGTGATTCTTCTTTGTGAGACAAAATTGTGGTGCAAAAGAGAAAAAAGTTGTACTTTCGAACGTCGCAGCCACAGGGCTGAGCAACTAGGTTTTAGAAAGCTTCCTTCCTCCGTCAACTTCCCAACTTCCTCCTTCTGCTACAGTAGTTAAATATACACCAGTTTGTGGGACGGAAATTACGTTCCTCGACACATTTTTTTGGAAAGATGCGGTGTACTTCTGTCGTGTATTGTACCATAATTATGTACGAAGCCCCGTTCAAACTGAGTACTTTGTAGTCAAATTGACTGTGGTTCCTTTGCGGTAGGCGAGGGCTCGGTGTTCTTCAGAGTCACGACGCTTTCGGGAAGACTGCGAACAGACTAAAAAAAAAAGTAATTGAAGGAATGCACCAACTTTTGTGCAGGTGACCTCTTGCAGCGGGGGCAGCCCGCCAAAATTTGAGAATCAAAATCTAGACTAATAAACCTTGTATAAAAGTTTCTTCATGCGTATGGTATAAAGATTTGTATTGTGACGGAATGCAAAATGTCGAATAAATGAATATGATGGAGGACTGCTGATTTTGGCCGCAACAAACCCTTCATTCCGCTTTTCCTGTCGCACCTCGGCACACACACACTCCAAGGAAAACAAAAAGTCTCTTTGCGAAACGAGCCGCGTGTATGATGCCAATCCAGAATTTCACTCAGAAAATGAATTACTGCTGGTCCGGAAGCGAGCTCTCGTCACTCCGAGCGCAACATTTGTGCTAATGCTCTGCTGCCGTGCGGTGCCGTGCCGTGCCGCCACCACGGGCGGGGAATGACCAGTACTGCTGGCCGCGCTCTGATTGGCCGCTGGGCCGGGCCGGGCAAACCCTGACCCGGCCGGGCTGCTGCCGGGTCGGAGGCGGAAATGCTTCCTTCCGACGTGCCATCGTCGCTCCGCCACGCTCCGCACTGCTCTGCTCGGACGAGGTGTGGCGGTGCGACAGTGAGGCCGGCGTCATGGCGGTGCTCGGCCTGGGACTCGCGGCAGCGCTTGCTTTTGCAGAGGTGGCGCTACTGCAGCCGCCACTTACGGCCGCAGCAAGGGTCCGTGAGTACAGCTTTACAGTGGAGGCCGTGGAGGCCGTGGAGGCGGGGCCCCTTACGCAGGCCGGGTAGGCCGTCCCGTCGAGCAGAACTGCGTCCGGGCTGCCTACCCGCCAGGCTGACTGGCCCGTCGACCAATGTCCTTGCCCATCGCAGAACTATGAGATCATCCTGGAGAGGATCGAGGGGCACGAGCCGAACCCGGAGTACCTGACCCCCGACACCTTCATCCGGATCCGGCGCAGCGACAAGGGGGGCCTCCCGGGGCTGTTCCACAAGATCGTTATCGCCAAGGCCTGGCCCAACGACACCGAGGTAGGCGGAGCTGGCGGGGCGCAGGGCTTACTACAATTTCCGACGAGTTGTTACCGTTCGACGCATCGATGCCCCACCCTGTCGATTCGCAGGCTGAGGTCATCATGTTCGAGATGCGTGACAACAAACCGGTCCCCGGCTGGCTCAAGTACAAGCGCAACTTCTGCGACTACATCGCCAACGAGAAGAAGCCCATCCTCAACGAGATCGGCAACATGTACCACTTTAAGCCGTGCCCCTTCCAGGTGAGTCGTCTTTTTCTCGCATCCCTACGGCACTCCCTACGAGCGCGAGAGAGACACAGACCGGCACAGCCCTCGCCCTGTCCATCCTGCCGCAGGGCACCTACAAGGTGGACGACTGGCGGCCCGACGAGCACCTTCTGCCGCCCGTCCTGCCCGGCCCGGACCGCATGATGCTGGGCTTCAAGTTCACGTCGGGCCCCACCCTCATCCTCAAGTACAACGTCGTGTTCTCCGTGGACCGCTCCAAGGGCAAGCGCGGGGGTCGCGGCTAGCCCAGCCTACGCGGCAAGCAACCAGGCCGGGCTGGGGAGTGAACCAATTTTCGATATTTTCAGGTGCTGTGTGCTGAGCCCCATTGTCAGGTTTCAAAAAATATTAACCAAGGAAGACATCTCTTTTCAATTTTATTTCAAACCAGAAGTTATAACATCTCAGTAACAACTGACTATGACAGATGAATCTAACTCTGTTGCTAACACTAAAGCATCAGAAAACATGGCACTTTCCTCTCCCTCCACTCATTAAACTCTCCACTCCAGATCATGAAAAAGTATTTAGCAACATAAATATCAATAAATTGCAATAAGAAACTAGATTCTAAAGTGTAAGAAAATTTAGATAATCATGGGCTTTATCGCTGTGCTGTATTTTTTATTACATTTTTATCTTAAGCCAGCCACAGTGCAACAATTTAATAGCTACAAGAATTTTATTTTGTGTACAATGTTGTACAGCATCAATACATATATGCCATGAGACAATAAATATGAGGCAATTCATGAAGAAATTAATGAAAATCAATTACAGTCATTTCCACCAAGTCTATCACAATTAGCATATTTTGGAATGCAATTCCAACCATAACAATTATTGAGTATTCTTTAAAAATCCAACAGTAATCACGTAACAACCAGTCCATACATAATACCAATCCACTTCATTTAATAATTATCACAGTGCACTGAGTAGTAAAAATGTACATACAGGAGGATGTTGGCTCCTTCCTCACATTCTACTTGCAAGCTTTCAAAGAGATACAACTGGCAGGAAAATAGTGTGCATTAAAGCCCAATAAATTTGCAAAAAAAATAGATTCAAAAAATTCTATGCTGTTCTACAAGACAATTATGTAAAACATGCACCATTCATTTGGGTTTACCAAAGGTTTACAAACAACCTTTTGTTTTTTTGTTTATTACATCACTAGCCATTATTAACATCAATTGGCTGTTTTCAAGTCTAGACATTCATGGTTGTATAATTTAAAATCACAGGAGACACAATTAATTTATGATTGAGACAATCATGGAAAGCTTGTCAATCACAAGAGTCTTACAAGTACCATCATTCAATAATCGCCTTTCAGCAAACTTCTCATGACAGACATACTGGAACTTTTATATCCAGATCCAAAGTGGTTCCTGAAACAAAATTAGGATCATTGTGAAAAGATGTTAACAATCAATTAATGCTCATAGGGGAAGTGAAAATTGAACAGTACCAGTGGTTTAGATAGTGGAAAAGTTGGTACAGCTTATGTCTACTGTCAAAGCCTTCTTTTCGAGGAAAATGAGAATGGTAGGCTTCATAGAACGAGGCTGTGAATCCACCAAACATTCCAGCAATCGCCAACTCATACTCATGGTGGCCGTAGAATGAGGCTGGGTCAAACACCACTGCAAAAGCAGAATAAACTTGTGCACAACAAAATTCTGAGAAAAAGATTGAGACAGACGTGGGAACACATCCATACCTGGGCCACTGGATATTTCTGCTGCATTGCCACCCCATAGGTCTCCATGTAAAAGTGATGGCTCAATTGTAACGTCTCTAAAGAATCGAGGAATCTTCAACTGCAGTTGAGACCAAAGTCCCAACGCATCCCTGTCACCATACTGCAGCAGAGAAATAAGAGGAATTTGAAAAGAGGCACAACATTTCTATCTCTCCCTTCCATCCTTATTTAAAGACTTACATCTTTTTCCAAGAGGTTAAACTGATGCTGTAGACGTTGTTGAGCAAAAAAGGTCTGGATTGAAAAAGACATATGTATAATACATATTTTATGTGCATCCTACAGACTTCTGAAAATTCAATTATGAACTTACCAACCAATCATCTGACCATGCATTTTCTTGAGGAATGTACCCACAACACGTGCTTGTGTGGAAACCAAATTGAGTGACATATTTTGGAGGGCCTCCATCCTCTGCAGACACTTCTTCAGAGGTAGTTACTTGTGGTGGTTTGGTTACCGTATTCTCTAGCTTCCTGGCTTGCACACCCAGGGTTATATTATGCTGGTGCAGTTTTGCAAGTTCATGACCCAGTCGTCTCGAATACTTCCGAACGCCTGAAGACAAACAACAAGTAAGGCTGGGAAGAGGGAGGAAAACAAAGCACGGCACAGATGTCAAAACACACCTTTCATTTCTAGGTATTCCAGTACAATGGAAGATCCACCTTTTGGGTTGGTAAGGACTTTCACAGGTTTTGGCACTCTCACAGTATTAGTTGCTGCAATGGCAAGGAGCGATGCCATTTCTCCATCAAACATGATTCGTGCCTGAAATAATTAAATACACCAAATCAACTCCGTAGTATCACAGAAGCACATCAATTATTCCAGCAGAAACTTGAAATAAATTTTAAGCAGGATAATTATTTATGAATGACTTGCCTTTGACTTGCCATTGCTCTTTACAAAATATGTTCCAGTGTCGGTGATGAAAGCCTCCCCTTGGTTGATGCAGCCACCACCACCCTGGCCTGTCCGCTTCAAGGTCGACGTGTTCAGTGTTTCCTTCAAGAGTGCCTCCATTGCATACTGGAACACAAAACGAAAGTAGACGAAAAATTTCAGTAGTGGTAAAGAGAGCATTCAAAAGTGTAATTAAGTATACTGTTTCTCCAGACGCACACTACAGTTTAAACTATGACACCAAATGAGATTACAACCGAAAGAGACTGGAGAGAATACTAAAATGCTACGAGTGACATCTGACAGGATTGGGCAGACACAAAAGGTCTCAATAATGAAAATATCAAATCCCCGACAAGCCCCGCCGAGCCCGACACCAATCGATCTAGTCACTGACCTCACCTTAAAATCTCGCTCTTCTATAATAACAGACTCTCGTTGAGAGATCGCAACTTGTGGGACTTCCCTCGAGATTAACAAGAAATTGTCAATTCTTAATTCATTCAACCGATCCCTTGATGCATGTGTCAAGTTTACAAACAGTGACAGACGACACAAACCAAACAGCCTACTGCTACAGTGCTGCTGCGCTGCAGCGGCGAAACGCCGCACTACGAACAGAAAACCAACGAAAAATTAAGCCGGCGTTTCAACATTCTACTGTCAGGCCAAATGTACCGCGTACAATGGATTAAGACACGATAATTTTCAGCTACGCTCTCGGAAACATGATCGGTTCCATTCTTTTGCTCCTAACGCAGCGTGAAAATAAAACTGTGATCTCGGTAGGTTGGCTAAGCTGCGTCAGTGCTGTCTGCTGTGTGTTTACGTCAATGAACCGAACCTGATTCAAGGTCTCTCTACTTTCTAGGCGTGCGGCGTTCGGTCCAGGTATCGGTGGGAGGTGTCCGAGTAGATACTCACAGCGACTGCGACGGGCGCCACTGCAACCGGACGTCTCGGTGCTTCGGTCACAAGATAGTTGCGTAATCGCGACGATCAGAACGGCTCGTTGTCTTGTCTGCTAGTCCTGCTGTGTCACCGGGTCGAGTGCAACCGAGGCATTTTTACTGCTCAGTCAAGCGTCGGCACTTCGTCGGCAAGCAAGCGAGTCAGTCGCAGACGCCAGACCGGTTTTCTTTTCCTAGCTCGTGCAGTGCAGTGCCTTCTCGACACTGTCAACATGATCTCCGGCAGAGCCCTGCACTATGTGGTCCGAGTGCCTGACAGGAAAAAGACAATCCAGTTCTACAGGGATATTCTGGGCATGAAGGTAAGCTTTCAGCGCTGGTGGAAAAACATGAGATGATTTTATGTTTCAAGGCTGACGGAAATCATATTTTCTGACAGGTCTTGCGCCATGAGGAGTTCCGGGAAGGATGTGCTGCCGCCTGTAACGGGTAAGCTATCAGCCTTGTTCCAAGCAACATTGTGGAACCTCATCATGTTTCTTTGAACACTATATGTTCAATTTTCCTTTTGCAGAGGCTATGACAACCGCTGGAGTAAGACCATGGTTGGTTACGGCCCTGAGGATACCCACTTTGTAGTAGAATTGACTTACAATTACCTGGTTCGTGACTACAAACTTGGAAATGACCTGGTGGGTTTGACTATTAGATCGAGTGAGGCTTTGAAAAGGGCAAGGGAAGCTAAGTGGCCTGTCATCGAGGAGAATGGCAAATACATCCTTCAAGCGCCAATTGGGTACCGTATGGTCATCATCGATGAACCCCAACCATCAGACAAGGGTAAGTTTACCTTTTTCGGGCAAACAAACCCCCATAAAAACATTCTGAAAAAATAAAGCAATGAAAAATACTTAAATTGTTGCTCCTAAAAGGGGTGGACCATAGTCTTCATGGCCTGAACTTGCTTTCAGGTTCAGGGATGGGAAGGAAAGAGGGTCACATTGGTAATGTGAATGTGTTATCTTGCTAGCTTGTTTTGCATTAGTTTCTCTGATCTCAATAGTTATGAGCTTGTACTAATTCCTAGACAAGGTTGAAGCATGTCATACTACTCGTTTAATTTCAATGTATAAGTTACCAAATGAGTACAATAGTGGTTCCGTAAGCACCTTAGTTATACAGTCAATTTACTTTTCAGACCCTGTTGAGAAAATCTCACTAGCTGTGTCCAACCTGGATAAATCAATTGAATACTGGCAAGGATTACTACAAATGAAGGTTCTGAAAAAATCCGATAAGGCTGTTCAATTGACTTATGGTGAAAACCAAGCAGTTTTGGAGCTTTGTGACATAGGTAAGTCTCTGCAGGAAGCCATCTTAAGTCATCCTTCTCTTTTCACTAACTTGATAAATTTTACATGTATCAGGCGCTCCCGTTGTACGTGAGACTGCAGGTGGCAGGATTGCATTTGCTGTACCTATGGATCAACAACCAACAATTGATGCAATTATTCAGAAAGCAAACCAGAAGATTCTGACACCTCTTATTTCCCTGGACACCCCTGGGAAGGCAACTGTCAGAGTGATCATTTTGGCTGACCCAGTAAGTGTATCTTTTCTACTATCACTTCAATCTCTACATTACCAAAAATATCCCAGACCGCTTCTTATCTGATAAAAATATCTTTTGGCAAATTAGGATGGCCATGAAATTTGCTTCGTTGATGAAGAAGGTTTCCGGCCGCTTTCTGCTGTGGAAGATGATGCAAATGAGCAGATTGAGAAATGCATTCGAGTGGATAAATCAGACAAGTTTATTGGTTAGTCTTGATGATTTATGAAGCTTTTGATATTCTCAAGGTATGTGTTTCACATTCCCTATCTCTTATCTGATATGTTTCAGGTGCCACACAGTAATTCTGCTGGGCAGGCTTTTTTCACCACATCCACACAATTTGTTGTTGAACTGCAATCTTTGCCACTATTGAAAATGAGGACCAATTTTATATTAATATTAGGCTTTTGCTACTTTTCAGTATTAATGAATGCATATGGTTAATAAAACTGCAATTGTAAATATGAACATTATTTAATAATGAGTTCTCTACTCTTCTAGAGAAAAGGAAATTGACTTGAACCTGCATTAAAGTTGCTCTTGGAGTGATGAAGGCTCAGTAACAGGTAGGACACAAATTTTATCAAAAGGTCTACATCATATGTATCAAATATGTACATCCCAAAGTACACAAGCCTCCATCACCAAAACTAACAAAGTAATATTGGTAAACAAAAATTATGACTCATCATAAGCCAGAACTATGATAAGTTTTCACAGAAAAAAAATCGTTGTAAATTCGTTTAACAACAAAAGGTTAGACAGAAATTCTTCGGAAGAACTCAATATGTATCACATACATAGACATAAATCTCAAAGCTGTCAAATTTACTTCTTAAAAAGTAACCATTCATCTCACACCCAAGACAAAGCACTGAAGGAAATATAGAACTATCTGAAAAAGATGTCTCAATAGATTAAGAATTATTGAACTCATTTACACTAATTTGTTGACCACAATGATTAAACAAAGGCAGGGGCACCGACTCTTGATTGGCCCTCTTCTAAATCAGCAATCAAAAATTACACAAATCAGTTAAAACCACAATAAAAATTGTCACAAAAAAATCTTATTAACTTCTCCACGTTAACAAAATTGTAAACATAATTTGTAATGTCCTATGAGCACTAACTTGAACAGACTTAATTGGAACTTTAAGGAAGGGGTTGTACAATCAAATATTTTAACTATTGTCCTTTTGAGATCGGTAATATTCATCATTGTCAATTTCAATACGAAGGGGTGATCTCTGTTTTGGAAGATTAGTTGTGCTTTTGGAGCTCTTTGAGCTCTTCTTACTTCTACTGCGACTCTTGCTGGATGCTTGCTTGAATCCTAGTCTTGACCTTAGATCTCCCTGGGGTCTTGATTCCTCACTTTCTTGTTCACTGGAAGAATATTCTTCACTGCTACTATCTGACTCTGACTGAGAACTTTCGTCTTCATCACTTTCGTCTCTCAAAGTCCGGGTAATTTGGAGATTTTCCTGACTACTACTAGTAGTGTCACTATGTTCACTATCTGATGCACTAGATTCTTCTTCATGTTTAATTCTTATCCCTCTGTCAGTAGATAGTCGAGACCAAACGGATGATGCTACGCTCTTGACGGTGGGCTTTGGACGAGAATGGCTCTTGACACGCTCAGATCGACTAAATGTGAGAAAAGAAAAAACACAATAAAGCATTTACCTACTAAGTTAAGACAATCATAAAGTCAAAAAGGTATTTAAAAATATTACTTACACTACTCTATCTGAGAGGTCAGATCTCCATCGTTGTGAATGACTGCTTTCTGTCCTTGATGAACCGCCATGCCTGGCTCCATCCCTTCCAAGACGATCACGCAAATCAACGCTTTTCTCAGGACCAGAGTGCATTTGACTTTGTGAACCCAACCTTCTTCGTGCTTGCAGCTATATAAAAATTTTTATTATAAATATTTAGGGGGCAAAAACCTTTAAGTGGTTGGGTAAAAAAAAAAAAGACACCAGTGCTTACCTTTGTTCTTTCCTTAACCTTCACTTCTTCTTCATCAGCATACATCCTCATACGGGGTATTTTGCTCTTTCGAGACCAAGACTCATTGTCACTTTCACTACCCGAAAAGGCAGAGTCATCAGAATCATCCTCATCTCTCTTTCGTCTTTTTCCATGGAGTCTAGCATGAATAGCAGACTTTGTCTTAGCCACAATTGGGGAAAGTGACGGTGAGTGTGACCGTGACTTAGACCGTTTTCTTCTGCTCTGAGTAGAAAGTTTTTCTGGTCTTACACCAATTCTATTCAATATAGAATGAGGTGGGAGAGGCATTGATGGAGGCATACGATGCATAGGGGGTAGACCTGGGGGGAGACGTGGTCCGAACAAATCTGAAATAATAGTAACCATCCAATTGAGCCAGCAGTTTTGGAGGGAAGAATTTTAAAGATCTGTTAAAAATGTGACTAATTTACCATCATCTACTGGCGCAGGGGGACGTCTGGAACGATCAATGTTGCTCCAACTCTTTGCTAGAGTTCCCCAAGGATTCCGGCCATCCTCCTCATCAGAGCTGATGACAAAGTCCCGTTCATCACCCATGTCATCATGGAACATCTTGGGGCGTACCAGAAGACCTTCTTTAATGCGTTGCTTGCGAGATTTGGACACAAGACCAACCATACCTAGAAAAGTTAAGATTTAAACATTTAAATTTTAAACAATATTAACATAAACATTAAAGATAAATGAGTTACACTAACCAAAGACGGGTTGAGGAAGCCTTTTGGGGCCGTCCTCTCTTGTTTTTGGGTGTCGCGGACAGAAACGTAGGAGAATCCCGTCAGAGTTAGGATGAGTGTCACCTTTACGCCATTGCCCAGGTGGAATATGCATGTTCAATTCCAAAGCATCTATAGCCTCCGGATCAGCAGCCAACTCTTCATCTAGTAGCTGGAAGATAAGATGCAAACATACAATAAGAGCACAGGGCAAAGCAAGTTGTCTTTACTTCAGTAAAAAGATTGATTGCAAACCTTAGCTGCTTGTTTGGCAGCAGTCTCCGCTTCATCTTCAATCATAATCACATCACTGTCTTCACCAGACTTATTTTCATCATCTTTTTCTTTCTTTATCTTTGAGGGGGACTTTTCTTTGCTTGGCTCTTGATCTCTTAACTTGTTCAAATTCTTAATAGGTTTAGAAATACCCAATAGTGCACGAATGGCTGATAAATTGTCTAGCCACACCACATTGCCTGAAGGAAAGTGTGCAGAAATTAGCATAAATTTAGGATTCAGTTGGCTGCATTGACTGCACATTGAAGACACTCCAATAGCTTACATGATTCATCATTTATCCACTCAATGGAAGTTGGGGCATAGTCCTTAAAGTATTCAAACACATCTTGAGTACTCATGGCCTCAGTGCCGTGCATTTGCAGAGAGTCAAACTTGAATTCCTTATCATCACCTTCTTTGACACCGACACTGCATAAAAATGTATCATGAATAATTAAATTCTGAGCTGACATGTTCATAAGTGACATATGCAATTTAAACAAACCTGCGGTACAATTTCTTTAAGGAATGCTCTGTTATTAAATTGGATTGAGAAGTGTCGAGACCAAATCTCTTTGCCCGCTCTACAAGTCTGGCCTGTTCTTCTTTTCCAAAAACGTCAATGCCTGTGATGAATCCTCCCGCTCGATTTTGAATTTTCATATCAGACTCCTGCATAAAACATCAGTAAACATTGTTACAAAACAAACGCAAGACGCAAAACACAACATAACCTCAAAGTAGACAGAAAATAGAAACAAATAGTCGAGGAGGTTCTGAAAAATGCAGACAGTAAAGACAGGATCGGCTACAATAATTTACAGTAATTTACCAGGGGACAGAATACGCGGATTTCTGGTATCTCAGGCTTCTTGAGAGGGTCAGTGGAAGAAGCATCTTCCAGGACATCTGCTTCTTGAATCTCCCCATCGTCGTCCGATAACTCCCCCTCTTCTGATTCCAATTCCATGGGATTTTCCTTGGGAGCTACCTCCGCACTCTCATCGACTTCCATGACCGCATCCATGGTGAATCAACTAAAGTCTATTGCAAGCAAATTGTCCAAAATTCAACTGCTGGTCACTCGCGAACGTGAACAAGCCACCGCTACTGCTACTGCTACTTCAAATTGACTATTGGCCCTCCTAGCATGGGAGTGCGAATAACACGAGGCGGGACCGGCTTCTATGAGAAATCTATCTCCGGGAGTTTTATCGGGATCGGGGCACCGGAGAATCTTTCTTTCGATCAGCTTCAGGACACGGAATTTTCAAGGGCAAGGGCAAGGGGCGGCGTCCAACGGAAGGAACCAAGGCGAGAGTAAAATTAGGCTTCGGCCCCAACGTGGCTGCGTCCGGCATCTCGCCTGGGAGGTGGGCAGCCCAGCGCGCTCAGGGCGCACGCGCACGGTGGGCTGCCTACCTTCTGGGCGGATCCCACAAGCACACCCTTGGGCGGGGCGGGGTGGTGGCACTGCGCCCTGCACACGATGAGGACACTCAACGCTGGGGCGAACAGCGCACGTAGCAAGAGAGCAACAATTTAAGTGTAAATGTAAAGCGCAGGCCAGTGACGCTCCATGTCGCGTGCGTGGTGCAGGCCATCATGACTGCAGACTGATTCAGGAGTGCCTTCCTCGCTCGGTCTCTGCAGCACTCGTGGGGCGTGCCGTAGAGGTGTGAGAGAGGCAGAGTGACGAAAGTGACTCATTGCTCTGTCTCTCTCGCACGGAGTGCAACTCCGGTGCATTATCTCGGAGTCTCGACAACCACCGTTCAAAGAGAGGGGTCCCATTCAGGGAGTGAATCCAGACTCGGCCGTACAGTGTAGCGGCATTGAAAACAGACGCGAGAGTGCAGTGCGTGCAGTACACTAGTACAGTGCTCGCTGGTGAAATGGAAGTGTGCCGTCGAGATCGAGATCTCGATTGAGATCGAGAGAGAGAGCCACGACTCTCCCTCCTCGCCACACAGCGTTTGGCCTTTCGGCGGGCTGCTTCCGAGACGCGCATCACCGCTCTGTCTCTCTCGCACCCACCCAGCCACCCGTTGGCCGACGGAGTGATGGAGTGACGGAGACAGAGAGACACGTCGGCATCAGCCTGCCGACACTCCACGATGCACCGCATGCCTCAGTGATGTAAGGTTTCGACGTAAATAAAAACAACAAAACAAACCAACAAAAACACCGCTGGACTACGGCAATTTGGCAGCGGGTTGTAGCGCTTCGCGTGCGGCGGGTGGCGGGGCTACGAAATATCGGCCTTCCCCGTGACAGGGACTGTCTCTCTGTCCGCCTGGCGGCCAATACCGATGAAATCGCGCCGCTTTTGGAGAAGCGTGCTTGATGGTATCTGCGAAAGGGGGAGGGGGGAGGGGCAGCAACCCCCACGCAGAGGCGCGGAGGGGTACCGTGTCCGCCCGACCGGCCCGACCGGCCCGCGCCACGCACTACTGTTGCTCGTCGTCGTCATCGTCCGGTCGCGCTCCGGTCGCGCTCCGGGTGTCAACACCTCGCACTCCTTCGCCGCGCTCGTGTTCCTATCTCCCGGAGGTGTTGGGACTCGCGCGGTCGCTCCCGTGGCTTCCGTGTGTGTGTTCTTGTTGTTGGTGTGTGTCGTGAGGGGCTGCTCTCAGTGTTGTCTTCATCGCGGTGCCGCCGTAGCCGCCGTCCTCCGCACCGCCTCTCGGGGAGGGCCCCCGCTGTTGTGCCGAGTGAGTCTGCTCCTACACTGTTAGACAAGTTGTCAATCTTCAAAGCTGATACTCATCGTTGACAGTCAAAGCTGTTTCACGTCAGGACGCACTCCAAGCGTCAAGCTAGGCGCTGTCGTCGCTTCGTCTCTCTCTGCAAAGCGCCCGATCATCGAGGCATAGGCAACCCGAAGACAGTCGCGCGTGCGGGTTGCCTATGCCGCGATGTTCGGGCGCTCCACTGTCCTGCACAAAAGCATCTATGAAATTCTGCTCATGTTAAACACTTGAAAAAAAAATTGGAAGAAAAATAGGACAAATTGTGAATATGGAGTTTCAATGGGGTGGGCCCTTTTTTTTCAATGACCTTGAGGCAAAACTTGAAGGCAACTTCGTGCACTTCGTGCCTTGAAAGAGACACGCCGTGTTCGTGCAGCGGCGCCAGGCAGCCACGCTATCGTCATGGCCTCTGTTTGACAAGGGCAGCCACTATTGACGTGGAGCCCAGCACTGCCCAGCAGCGCCCAGCCCCGCGGTTGCCTTGCGTCCGGGTGATGGACAGGGCGGCCCGGACGGTCATGGACGTCCCGGACACGGACACGTCAGACACGTCCCAATCAAGGGATGGCCACATGTGTGCTTCATTAGGCTGTCGGTCCCTCCGGCCCACAGTGTCTCAGTGCCCCAGCAGTGGACGGGCGGCCGCCATGCCGAGAAGGTGCGCAGAGGACTCCCTGCATTCGCTCAAGCTCAAGCCTCCGGAAGGGGTTGCGTTTGGCGAGGCCACGCAGGGGGAGGCACAGCGGGCCGGAAGACCGGTGGAGGCGGCCAAAATCCCGGACGCGTTTTGACCTCCAGAGTCGCTAAATGGGACTCGAACCGAACGTGTGACCCCACCAATGGATTGCTCTCCGAACGAGGAATCCATTGGTGGGGCCACACGTCCTGCCGCACTGTGGGGGAGGGATTTGGCGGTTTACGGTTTGGCAGTGGACGTGACGGTTGCGCTGCTGCAGGTGGCGCGGGCCTGGCGCGGGCAGGCTGACCGCTGAGGACGGATGTGTCGGCTAAGGGCGCTCAGGGCTCCCCGCTCCGCTCCACCGCGGCGAAGGCCCTTGTCCTTAGGACCGCCCTCGCCGCCCTCGCCGCCCTCATGGTGCTCGTCGTCTCCTTCTGCTCCGTCTTCTCCATCCGCCTCGGCTCCATCATCGTGGGGGTCTTCTCGCTGGTGAGCAACACCCAGTTTGACCAACCCACCAACCTCCATCATGAGAAAGGGCGCCCTTCTCTTTGGGTTTTGTCTTTAGTTTTTCAAGTTTCCTCTCCGACTCTGAGTCTAAGGTTTCTTTAAATACTTCGGGATACACTGTGAACGGAAATTGCTAATTATCCTCCGGCCAAAGCCGACACTTTTGGGCAGATGCCACCTCAAAACCAAAACCACGAAAGTTTTTTTTTTTTCCGCTACGCCTCGCCTCGCCGCTGACGCGCGCTTTGGTGAAGCGCTAGACCCCCCCAACTACCTCGTCCAGACGGGCGGTTACGGCTCGGCCGCCTCGCCCTGTCTCCGTCGCACTCACGGGGCGGCCCGCGGCCGTGCGAGAGAGACAGAGCGACACGGCCCGGACTGCCCCTCCTGAATCGCACGGCGCTGGGATCAGATAGCACTGCGCGCCGCGACACGCGACGAGCGTGACTGGGCGTGACGGGGAGGATTGGGGGAGGGGGGGGGGCAAAGCAGCCCCCTGCCGGACTTGACTGCAAGGGTGCGCCAAAAATGCGGGAGGAACAGGTCCCTTGTGCGGTGGGAGGGGTCCTGTGCGCCTCGATGCGCCCCTACGAGTGTCCTGTCTGAGGCCTCTTCGAAGCGCCTCTTCGAAGCCCGGCGCCCCCGCTCCACCCGGACACGCCAAGCTGACGCCGCTGGTGCGTCCGTGTCCATCGGACAGGCAATTTGCAGACGGGCCTGTGCGAGCCATGCGATCGAACTGAACGGGCTTTGGCCTGGGGATGGACGTGGGACGTGGGGTGGGGTGGACGTAGCGCGGGGATGACCTCTGAGACGAGCGTGAGTCTGTCGCCACGCCGCCACGGCTACCGTGTTGTTGTCGTTGTTTTGATTCGTGGAAAAGAGGGGGGGGCGGGCTACTAGCGCCTGGCGGGACAGAGAAGGCAACCCCCAACATCGGAGCGCCGCGCGACCTTGTCGTGACCTTGAAGATTAGCCGATCCCATGTTTGTTACAGATGCAGGCGGCGGCGATGAAGCTGGCCTGCATCATCGGCCTCCAAGACATCCAGGGGGTGTCGCAAAACCTCAATGACTTCATGTACGAGAAGGACTTCATTTTTATGACTAGTTTCGTTAGTAGCATTAGAAAAAGTGAGTATTTTTTTCCCCAAACGAACAGGTGTGTTTCTTTTTTTTTTTTCTGGAAGGGGAAGTACAGGGAATTCATGGCCACGTCTTCTGTCCCTTTTCCAGATCCAGAACCCTACATTGTAGGCACACTCATCATTTTAATAGTGTACTCGTTTTCGTGCATCCTCATGATCTACGGCGCTTTGAAAGTAAGTCGTGACCGCGCAGCCTGGAAACAGGGAAAGTGGCGCGGTTGTCCGGTTTCGAACCCGGAACCCGGAACTCGACTCTGTAAACCCGCGCTTTCTCGCTCCCCCAGCTGAACGCGTGGCTCGTGATGCCGTTCGTGGCGGCCGAGTTCCTGCGCCTGTGCGCCACGCTGGGGCTGCTGGTGGCCTCCATGCTGGTCCTCAAGAAGAACAGCCTGGACCTGGGCCCGCTCATGGGGGGCAGCTGCGGCGGCGGCTTCCTCATGGGTGAGTGAGTGAGGCCGCGGGTGGAGGCGGTCAAAATACCGGACGGGTTTTGAGCTCCAGAGTCGCTAAATGGGACTCGAACCGAACGTGTGACCCCACCAATGGAATCCTCGTTCGGAGAGCAATTCATTGGTGGGGTCACACGTTCGGTTCGAGTCCCATTTAGCGACTCAGGAGCTCAAAACGCGTCTGGAGCTTTTTCCGCCACCACTGGTCTTCTGGCCCACTGTGGGGCGTCCCGTAGGGGTGCGAGAGAGATAGTTGCTGACCTCCTCCCCCTGTTGCAGTGCTGCTGCTGTACATGTGGGCGTGCCCGCTGAGCCTGGTGCAGGAGCTTCTGCGACGGCGGCGCGAGCAGCGGGAGTTGCGCGCCAAGGCCAAGCAGCTTCACGGCCTGCACGGCCTCCCCGCCAACGGGCTGGGTTACGCCAACGGCCTGGGCTACGCCAACGGGCTCGGCCACGACGTGATGGGCCCCCCGGTGACGCGCGGCCCGTCGGCCATGCCGTCGGCCATCGACGCGGACAAGGCGCTGGAGGCCAAGAAGCTGTGGCACCACACGACCCAGCTCACGCAGCCCTACCCCTACATCACGCAGTACCCGGCCTACCGGGGCTACCCCATGTACATCGACTAGCTGCAGCCGGCCACCCTGGACCACCACCCGACGTCTTGCCGCCTCGGAAGATCGCTTCGTCGCTCCGTCTCTCTCGCGCACACGGAGACCCCCATAAGTGCGACAGAGACAGAGCGGCGAAACGAATCTTCTGATTCGCTCCGGGTTGGCAGCTCATAATAATGCTTTAGCCACCTGTTGACTGCAGCATTTTGCTATTAGCGCTAATTTGTTAGTGTATTATGATCCCATCGAATTGGGTGCACATTACATTTTATAATGCATCCACTCTCTCCAGCAACTATCATTATTTACTAGTTCTATTCTATCAATTTTGGAATAATCCTAGCATGATCTTTGCAATAACTTATTATTGTTTGTCTCACTGAGTGATCCATTTTATTTGAGATGTAAGGAATGGTAAATTTTACTGGAAAATAAAGCTTTGTAGAACATACACAAGTCACGTAAATTATTGCATTTATTAACTCATATTCAACAATTAGTTACATCATAATCTGTACAGTATTTACATTGTGTATCAATTTAGACTAAATTTAGTAGAATGTTCAATCTTTCCAGAAATAAATCAAGCACACTCTAAAATCTAAATAAAACAACACAAATTGTTTGCAGGTCAAAATTTAATTAGTCACACAGTGTCTGTTTTCTACGCTTTTGTTTTAATCCATCTGAGAAAGCAATTGACATACTGCACAAATTTGCCCCAATTTATCTTTTTTTTGTGGTACGGTGGGAATATTTTTTGCTTCTAATTTGTCACAATTTAAGCCCAAAGCAGTGAAAGCTCTGAAGTACAGTGCTAAATTTTGCAGTTTTTAACATAAGTTACGTACAGTTTCTAGGGAACAGTGTGTAGCCATTGAACATTAAACCATACTACCTTGGACCCCAAAGCAGCAATTCTTGGGTTTTCATGATACATAGCACATTTTATAATGAACATTAATGAGAGAATCAATACCTTTCATAGCATGAAGGTAACTTGAGGCAATATGTTGTGGCATTCAACAAACACTAATACATGAACAAGATAGATGTCCATCATAATACAGAGAAATGACCACCATCAGGATCAACACATTTACAGTTAAAATCACAGCCTGATTGGGCTTGGTTCCCACACATAACCAAATTGTTTAAAATTCCCTTCTATCATAAATTTGAGTTAAGTTGCAATGAAAAAAGCATATTTCAAGGCAGTATCATTACCATCAGAAAAACATTTAACATTTAGTTCATTGCAAAATAGCATGTAGACATGATGCCAGCACCAGAATCTACAAGAGAATTATTTTTGGTTTATCTGTTTATCATACAGAGGAACTAGGTGGCAAATTGGTAGGAGTTGCAGCTAATACATTAGATGCGCCGAGTATCATTGGAACTTTTGGAAGATCCATTTCTAAAAGACTCGGCACTACAATCTCTTCTTTGTTTCCTAAGTACCACTTCTTCTTATTGAACAGTAATAGTAACATCAGGGCAGGTAGATGGATTAGAGAAAATCTAAACAGCTTGCGAGATGAGCTGCTGTCTGATTTCTTATAAAACTGGTATGCTGGAATGTTAAGATACAGGAGTTAATTTAAAAATTCAGAAACTTAAAGGGTGAGAAAATTAGTGAAAGAGCTTACCGAGATAGGCAAAGTAACCATTTAATGGCAATGATTCTAATGCAAACCATTGGTTTGTAAGTTCTAGGTACGGAGCAGCACAGGACAGAGCTAATATTACACCTGTGTAACGTAGAGCAACTCTCCGGCACAAACCTTAAAGAGAGAGAGAGGAAGATAAGGACATATAGTAAGATAGGCTAACAGTTATGTACAATCTTTGACTTTTGAAAACTTCAGTCAGTAAAAAATAAAAAAAGTGTAGAGATTTTAACTCACCAGGGTCAGTGACTGACATCATACGATATCCTGCACGTGAATAGTCTGGTCGTAGATTCCACGACAATGCATTGAAATGTGGAAACTGCCATGCATATAGCAGTCCTGCCATGATCCAAGCAGCAGGCTCAAGACTGCCAGTGCAGGCGGCCCACCCCATCAAAGGAGGCATGGCACCAACTGAAATTTTTTTTAAAAAAATATTAAAAGAAATTTTTTTTATTGCAAAGGAGGTAATGTGCAAAGGGACGTACCAATGGATCCAACCCAAGTATTGAGAATGCTGACTCTTTTCATTGGAGTGTAAATCATGGTGTACAGTACCAAATTGGAAGCACCTAGCAAAGCTGTGAGTGGGTTGCACCCAAAGTAGAGGGCGGATATTCCAACAGTGGCAGAAACACCAGCAAAACCAACTGCATGCAGTGGGCTGTACCATAAAAAATAAAAATAATAGTTCCCTTGGAAAAAATGGTCCAAGCTCGAGTCCTAAATAATCATATCTGACTACTTACGAAAGCTTTCCTTGAACCAGCACTCTGTTCCTTGTTCGAGACATTTGAGAGTCAAAGGGAACTTCTAAGTACTGGTTAATTGAATTGGCTGCACAAGATGTTAAGCCAGTTCCCACAGAGGCCATTAAAAATGTGAGGGGATCAAAGGGAGCAGAGGCTACAGCATACCCTCCCATTGTTGTTAAAACAACCAGGGCTATAATAAATTCAGGGGAAAAAAAAGAAATTTATGAGTACAAACAGCAGGTGCAAAAATAATAAACCAGTAGTGATAAACTTTCTATACTCACAAGTTAGCCTAATTTTAGAAAGTTTAAGATAAAGATCAGTTAAATTTGCTGGTTTTGCAGCATACTCCCGCCATGCATTCTGATCTCTTTCGCTAACATTTTTAGGTTTGGATGAGCTTCCAATTTCATTTACAACCACAGGGGTCACTAATTCGACTAAGGGAGGGGTAATTAAAGAGCTATTGACAGCCAATGAAGTTGCATGTTTGACTGTAGTTGTTCCTGGAACTTTTTTCTTGGATGAAGAAATCACCGTGGGTTTATTTAAGTGATTGACAGAAACCACGGGAGCAGCCTTAGAATACTGTGGAGAAAACAGAAACAACAACATAAATGATAACTTTAAAAACATGAATAAAGTGTTCAAATTACTACAGAGTACTAGAAAAATGGCCACATAGTTGATGGCACAGGGCAAAACAGTGCTACATTTTCCAATAGATACACAAGGGTGACACCCGAAAGAGGTCAAAACTGAACAAGGACAAGATAAAAGTTGAAATCTCACCTGAATGAGGTGGACGAGTGATCCACCAATGCGGGAAGATCTTTTCGGCAGCCTCCATACTGTGGGCTGCACTATCAGGAACAACATGCCGCTGACATTGGCACAGGGCCCGCCCTAAACAACAAACAATTACACATGAAGGTTAACAACTCTTGTAGGTTAGGTCCGAGTAGTGTGATGGGTTCTATCAATCAGGCCAGACAGTTGATTTAAAATACTGGTTTTGGACAGGTAAAGAGGAATGGCGTCTGCTAATGACAGCTTACAAAAGGGAACAATAAGGAACCGAGTAATTCCTTAATGCCCTAAACGCCACCAGGCAACCGAGCAATGGTAATCAGAACAAGTCAGATAAAAAAGAGCCCACGGCAATACACCCGCGAAAAATCAACTGTGCTTCTTTCACATGACTTGAAATAGACAGCCGTCACAACACAGGGCTTTGAAGGACGTTCTAATAGGACAAACAAACAATTTTTGAAGTTAACCTTTAACACAGCAACCGCTGCTTCGCAGCAGCAGAAGCAGAAGACCCGTCCCGATCACACATTTTCAGGTTTCATCTGTTTTCCACAGCCTTCTACTAAAGGCATTTTTCATATCTGCACGTTGCACAACTGAACACGTCCTTTCACGTGTTTCTTTGTTTTCACAAAGAGGGCCGCATTTTCATCGTATTGTGCCGAGAGAGTTTCAGAGGATCGTTCACGAAAATCGCCATCAATCTTTCATGCTTTCCAGGTGTTTTCATTACTTTTCGCGTGGTCACGCGGAACACGCCGCGTGACGCGCACGCCACACGCCGCCGAAAGGGATCATGGGATAGAAATGGAGGCCAAAGGCCGCTAAGCTCAAAAAACCCTCAATCGGAAAGATCTAATATCCGACATGACCACGGCGTTTTATGCCATTTCACATTCATGAGACACGAGAGCCAAACTAGGCCAGCCAATGTGAAGCATAAGTAAGAAAGGGTCCCCGACTCGCCCTGTCGGAGGCAGAGGCACACGAGTCGCGTCTATCCCTCACATGCCAGGAGGAAGAGCTGATAGGTGTCACTGCAGTCGAGTCGAGTCGCGTCCAAGTCCTGCAAAAGCCCTGACGCCATTTTAGCAACTAACCTGCTCTGCTGGGCGCGGAGGGAACGAGTAGTTTGAGGACGAAATATGTAACCAAAATCAAGCTCATCTTGTTCAGGTAAGCTGGAGTGAACGCTGCGTGATCTCTTGTAAAATGCGGAGAGGTTAAAGGAGACGCTTTGGAGCGAGGCGATGTTGGTGTGGAGGTTGTGTGCCCCGACGGCCAGACCTCGATCCTGCGCCAGTCACCGACAGGCTCCGTGACTCTTGCCCAAAATGGAGGACATTCTGTGTGGATGTATTTACTGCCTCGCTCAGTGTTTCCCCGCTCTGAAAAGTGTCTATTTTGTCGCAAAGTTTTAGCCCGAGTCGTTGGGTGGTGGAGGACTGGGACTGCCGCCAAAGCCCAGAGCGTCAAAGTGCTTAGGCCAGCAAAGGGCCAGCAGGCCACAGGCTGCAGTCTGCCTTGGCCAGAGCACGCCAGGCACCAGTTCGCGGCCAGGCGCCTAGAAACTGGCGTGGAGGTCTCTGAGGCTCGCCTCGGCCCGCGGGGAAGCGGTGCGAACAACTGACATCGTCTGGCTCGAGTGGTAATTATAAACAGTGGCGGGATATGCCTCTGTCTCGGCCACTGGCCGGTCCCTTGTTTGGTCGCGTTGCCGAGTTGCTTCGGGGCTGTTTTTCGCTGGGGCCTCTCTTTACCAGTCTGGGCGTGACGGCGGACGTGGCATTTTGCCTGCTGAAACCGCCAGGGATCGAGTATTTGATTGTTGACATCCATTGTTTCCATAGCTTCTGTATCTATTTGAGGTTAGGCTGAGCCCTAAATGCTGATTATCTTGACTGTATGTGAAGCAGAAATGACGTGCATGACTGCTGGGGTGTTCCTAATTGTCTGTGGGTAGTGTCAACATGTTGTCATGCCCTTGTTGTGTTTGTTGATACCCTTGGCAATATCATGCAAGATGACTTGGCATTGTGAAATTAGCATCTTTGTTTGGAATGACTTTTGTTTGTGATTCGAAAGCATTTTTGTGGAGGTCAGCTCTATTTGGAAAGGTGCCAATGTTAGTTTTTGAATGTTCAAGTCGTAGGTGATGAGTATGTTTATTTTTGTCTTGCTGTCATTTGGTTTCCTTCTTATCTTGCTGCCTTGACTTTTGTGGTAATGGGCCCTGCTCCCCTGCAGCTCCCTGTAAAGTTTGTGGCATTATTATTAAAAGCCCTTTTTAAAACTTTTTTTTTTTTTTTGGGGGGGGGGGGATGTTTGTTTTGTGACAGTTCAATAATGCAGCCACCTGTAACTTATTGTCATTGAGCTACTGTGTTAGTTATTTTAAGAACTTATGTACCTTAATGTGGCTTGGTGTTTGACTGACTTCTTGTTTCATCTTTTTACAGTGATCGTTATGGAGAATGGAGATGATTCATCGTTGGAGAATGTGGAGCCAGAGCCAGACCCTGAGGATGATCTTCATCAGGCATCATACCTTGATGGGCACAGCCTGTCGTCCAATGATGGAGCTGAAGATGAGAAACCTACCAAAAGCAGTTGCTCTGATGGGAATGGAGTCAGACCGTTCACACCTGCAGAAGATCAGCTTATTTTATCAACAGATGAAGAAACTAGAGAGTCAGCCCTAGATGATTCTCTGGTTGAAAGTGGTGCAGCATTAAAAAATGCTTTGGAATCTATGAGCAATAACTGCCAAGCATCACAAGATCTGCAGCTATCATCGGATTCTCTTTCAGTGATCTCAATTCATCCAACACCACAAACAATGACATTCAAACCAGTGAGGAAGTGGATAGTTCTAAGTGTAATTCTACAGAAAAGTTGGATAATCTCATTTCTAATGACCTTAGTGATTCATGTGTTAAAAGTGCTGAATGTGATGGAACTGAAAGGACAATCAGTTCAATTATTAGTGACAGCAACTCGCAAGATGGTTGCCACCCCAGTGTTGACACCAATAGGAATAGTGGTGAAGAAAATGATCTGGGTGGTGAAAAAGACCTCATCTATCAAGAAATTTTGCCAGCTAGTGCTGAGGATCCTAGTCCTAAGGACTCCGGGAATAATGACAAGGTGGTTACTATTTGTTGCTAAATTATAATCCCACCTTTGTGGAAGTTCTCATGTATTGTGACTCGATGCTTTTGTTTTTCAGGCTCCTCATACATCCGAAGCACTTGAAGCTGAAGTAGAGGCAGATGCAGAAGCGGATGGGTCCAAGGTCCCTAGCCTACCCTCTCCAGCATCTCCTCTGGCACCTGTAGAATCTGCACCTCTCCTTCCGTCACCCTCAGCCACATCGTCACCTTCAACTCATACAACAGCCCGTGAAGGTGCCCTGTGCTCTGAAGAGACGCTGTCAAGTGGTGCTGGCTTAGCATCGCTCTTCATGGAGAATGAAGGAAGTCAGCAAACGTGTGATAGTGTTACTAGTGTTGGTGAAAATGACAGTGCACATTCAAGAGTAAATGTGGGCGACCTTAGTCACAGTAATGAGCCAGTGGATATGCCTAATTCTTGTTCTGGTGATAATTTAGGGAATGTTGACATTAATGAAACATTTAGAGGGAAAATTGATCATGAGTTCAAGTTATTTGGTACTGGAGAAGATGCAAGTTTTTCTCTTTCAGCTTCTGATAAGGTGGAAAGGTTGGACAATAATTTTGGCTTAAATGTGAACAGTGTAGGAGAACCCTTTTCTGCAATGAATGAGAATGCAGTTTCAGCTGGTGCTTCTGGATTATCTGATAGTTCAACCAGTGACAATGAGATATCAATTGGAGCAACATCAGGTGCAACAGCTGAAGATGGGACATCATTGGGCGTGATGGCTGAAAATGAAACATCAGTTGGTGCTGTGGCTGGAGATGGACTGTCTGTTGGTGCAGTGGCTGGAGACAGCACATCAGTTGGCGCAGCGGCTGCAGACAGTGTGTCAATGGGGGCTCTAGCGGAGAATGACTCCAGTGACGACAAGGACAGTGTTGTTTCCAGCAGTGATGAGAAGGAGGAAGTGGAAGAGGATGAGGAGCAGGAAGTAGCAAGTGAAGAGGGCGAAAATGAACCTTCAGATACATTTTCAAGAGTCAATGGTGGCTTGAGTGAATCAATGGACTGTGAAGATAATGATGCGTACAATGACAATTCCAAAGAAGTGCAATCAGAGTCATCCTGGAAGTCTGAAAAGCCAATAATCATGTCCAAAAATTTAAACATGGCTTGGAAAAAAGCGTTTGCAAATACTGCGAAGCGCTATGAAGAAATTAGCAGTAGAGATAACATTTCTGCTGATGCTGACAACACCGTTGCCAGTGATTCCTCTTGCCATATGTCACAGTCAGAATCTTCGTGTTCGGTGCAAAGCATTGCACCGGCTGACGAGTCATGTCCAGAAAATGTATTGGAAGATGAAGCAGCAACATCTGACAATTACACAGGTGTCACTCTTAATGAAACTGATTCTAATCCAGTTCCATCTTATGAGCACGTTGCTCCTAGTAAGAAATCAAAGTTACGCACCTTTCACAAAAAGAAGACGAGGAAGAATAGGAATCTATCCTCTGTCAGTGAAGAGCCAACCCTTTTGTCATCTGATAAATCTTTGTCAGGGTTTCCCATAAGCATGAGCAATCCAGCCCTAGACTGTGGACAGTATGCTGGGTCACAGCCAAATGTTTTATTTAAATGTGTGCGATGTGGTTTGAAAGGTTTCACATCCATGCTAGATCTGAAAGATCATCAGATGTTATGTTTGAGGAATCCTTTAGTTCCTGCACCACTACCTCAAGAACGTCCAGTTCCAGCTAGTCCAGAAACTTCCTCCAAAATTCGGATTACCAGAAAAGTGTATTTATGCTCTGCCTGTGGGACTTACTATGAAAACTGGAATCTCTTTCTCCATATGAGAGAAGTTCATAAACGCCATATCTGCTTGTTCTGTCTGGGAATGTTTTCACAAGCAGAAAAATTGTCCTTGCACTTGGTGTCAAAACACAAAGTTTCTGCGGGTCACTATGCTTCACCTGAAGATTTTAAGCAATCATTTAAAGGATTGTGCTTTCTGATGTGTTGTACTTGTGAGCGAATGTTTACAGAAGAAAACTTCACAAGCCATCTCTGTAGAAGAGACTTAGTTGTTTGTAATGTCTGTCAAGGTCGAGGTTTTCATGTGCCCAACTGTCAATTGATCAGTGGTGGTGGAGAGCATCTTACAAATACCTCTATCCCCTTGCCTGATAAGATGGCTCCCATCCCTCAGACAACTGGGCGAGGAAAAGCTGGTTTGGCGAGTTCCAAGAACAACAAATTAGGAAGCAAACGGAAGAATGTATTGAAAGTTCGAATCCCGACTTTGCCACCAAAGAGAACAGAAGAACTACAAGTACCTGAGAGATTGTCATCAATTCCCAGTTCTCCAACCATGTCATCTGTCCATTTCTCTCAATCTAGTCTACCTCAGGAGCACCCTGCTGCGTTTGGTGAGGCAGATGGCATGACCAATCTAGACCGAACAATAAATGCCGTTGCCCTGGGTTTGACAGAAGAAGCCAGAGCGTGGGAGGAACGCATGGAGGCTGAAAGACAACGAATTCTGGAAGCCAGACAAATTTACACCGATACTGAAGATGAGAGTGACGCGGAAGTAGAAGCGGATGTGGATACTGCAGCTATTACAGAATCCTTGCCACATTCCAGTTCTTCTAGTGACAGTGGGGAAGAAGAAGATGATGAGGAAGAGGAGGAAGAAATGGAGACCTACAATAAGCTTCCCTATCCAGAAGCAACCTCTGAAAACTTGATAATGTCAGAGGAGCAACAGGAGCTAATCCCTGATCCGGAACCGACTGCCTTACCACTGCCAGCAACGGAACAAGAACCAGAGGAGGATGACGACGATGAAAAGGAGGAGGCGGAACAGCCAGCTGAGACTGTCCCCCCTGAGGAGCAGATGGAAGTTGAGGCTGCAGCGGAAGAGGGCCACCCTCAAGAAATTCCAGAGCCAGAGGGAGATGCGCATTCTGAGGTGAATGTTACAGCCGAGGAAGATGAGCCCAAAGTTGAAAGAAAAGTCGAGGATCTGGAAACTCCAACTGTTGAACAGCAGCCAGCGAGCCAGGCTGAAGAAACTTCCGCAGCAGAAACATTTGATCCTCCAGTAGACACACCTCAGGTGTCGGAACCTTTTGCTATTTCTGAAAACTTCAACTTCACAGAAGCTACTTCAGTTCATAGTCCAGAACCCATGGATGTTGATTTCAATACGCCTCAGGACATCAGTAATTTCAATGACAGCATTCCTTCACTTCCTGATGAACCTGATGATGCTGTTTTAATGGACGGCATGGCTGGAAGCGTTGAGCAAGCTAATGATGAACCATTTGGAAAATTGGCTTCCCCACTCCCCGAGGAAAACGGCCCTGTGGGTGATCTTGCAGTGCCTGAGCAACCTCCTACCCCAGTGGCAACTGAAGAATGTACTGAAGAAAAACTTTCAGATGGACTAGCTCTGGCTGGCGAGGAAGTTCCAGAAACTAGGTTGTCCTTGGACAAACCGTTGCACATTATGAAAACGCAAGAAGTTTTGAAGGAATGTGTGCGAACTCTCTGTTGGACATGTGTCTATTGCAGTCATGCCAAAAAAATAGCTGTGAATGGTAAGCAGCTGGCTCTTCACATGCTGTCTGAGCACAGAGTGGTGCCAGCAGACTCTGGTCATCAAGAGGTTCCTGCTGGAGAGCGCTTGATTTTGAAGTTGAAAGATTCTTTAGAAACACTTCAGTCAGCTTTCTTCAATACTGATTCATATGACAGTACTGACAAGGCTAATTCATTGCCATATGATCGGTCGTATGAATGTTTCCACTGCCACTTTTATACAAGACTCCACAAAGATTTATACATTCACAATAGAAAAATGCACCAGAAGACAATACTTTTGTGTATCATGTGCAAGTCCAACTTCTACAGTTACAGTGAGCTGCTTTCTCATCTTTGTCCTGGCATTTATATTCCTCAAATTAATATTACATTCCGGTGCTGCATGTGTGATGTGGATGAATTACCATCTGCCTTTCGTCTCATGGTTCATCTGAGAAAGAAGCACAATGCTTGTGATGTGTGCCTGGAGGTGACTGATGACCAACAGAAGCTTTCCAACCATGTCTGGAAGCACAAGCTTCATCATCTCTGTTTCAGATGTGGTATTGCCTACAGAAACAAGCCCGACATTACTAAACACTTGTTTTGGAAGCATGGAACAGAGAGTGTTTTGTGCAAAAAATGTCTGCAGAAGAAGTGGCCTCATGTTTATCACTTCTGTGTTCCACCTGCTGCCTTTGTGTGTGAAGAATGTAATGCCATGTTCTCTCGAGCTGTTGCATTACGTGTCCACAAACGATTCCATTCTGAAGATTTTAGATACTCCTGCACAGAATGCGAAGAAAAATTTGTTTCTAAGAAGCTGCTTGCAAAACATGTCGACAAACACAACGCACCTGCCTTACCACCACCACCACCACCACCAGTGCAAATGCCTTTGTCACCAGCTGTGAATGAAAACCCAGAAGGAGTGTCGGAACCAAGGATCTCCCCTGTACCTGAAGAGAAAGAAGTTGTAAAGAACTCTAGCATCAGTGATGAAGATAATAAGATTGTCAATGTAGTAAAATCGCCCCCCACATCTCCCCTTAGCACCAAGCATGTTAAAAAGAAGAAGCACAAACGAGATGAGCCAGAAGAAGAAACAAAGAAGAAAGCTGTTGATGTGTTTGATCTGCCACCTTTGAATTTGTCATCTGACAGTGACAGTTCTGATGAAGAGGAGAAAAATAAGTCTAGTGCTCCTATTAGCAATGATGTTGGAACAGCGGACCCTGCCCCTCCTGAACCATCTCCAACACCACCTGCTGTAGAAGATCGGCCAGAGACGGAGGAACCTTCCACTGTAGTTGACGGAATATGGGACAAATTCCAGAATTTCCAAGCTAGTTTAGAAAAGCGAGATCCTGCAGAAGAAGCACAAGCATTTGTATGCAAGACAATAATGTTGGAGCATGATTATTGTTTGCCAGCTGACAAACCAAAACCAGCAAACCCTGAAAATGCCTCAAGTGAAGCGGGCCCAGATGGTGAGAAAGGTGCGTCTGCTGATCCTCAAGAAGTTGGTTTACAAGAAGGTGCACCTGTTGGGGATGCCAGCAGCACTCCTAAATCAAGCCCAGTCAAAAAGAAGAAGACTCCAAGGAAGCGGAAGAGGGCAAGCTCAGGACGGGTCTCTAGTTCTTCGTCAAGTGATTCTAGCAGTGACTCGGATTCCAGTAGTGGCTGTGGCAGTAACTGCAGCTGTTCTAGCCACAGTGGCAGTGGTAGCTCCAGTAGCTCTAGTTCCTCCTCATCAAGTTCTGATTCGGATGATAGTTCCAGCTCAGAAGGAAAACGTAAAGCTGCCGCCAAGAAAGAAAGGCGGAAGGAGAAGGCGGAAGAAAAGAGCAAAAAGGATGAAGCTAGGCCTGTTTCTCCGGCTCCTGTGCAAGCTGATGTCAACCAGCCGCCTGTTGCCAGCCAAGCTCCAGTTGAAGAGCCTCACATAGATGTCATGGAAGGAGAACTAACCATTAGGGAATCAGATCTGGACACATCGGAAACTGACACAGATGAAGATTTCTATGATGACAATCCGCAGAAACTTGCTAATGAACTACTTCAAGAAAAACGTAACTTAATGCTGCTCGCTGCTGTAGCCAACAATGGAGGTATTAGTCCTGCACAGTCTCATTCAAGTCAACCCCCTAGTGCTGCTCCATCTGAATCAACTCCCTCCAAAAAGAAAAGTAAGAAGCGCCGCAAGAAGGCATCATCTAGCAAAAAGTCAGCGCAACAAGCACTAACTCATGATTCGTTTGGAGTTCAAGATCGTGTTTCTGACTGGACAAACCACCAGCCGGAGCAGTCTTATCAACAGTACAGTCAACAGAGCAATTCTGCGAGTGTGACAGATGGACCATACTCCTCTTATGTATTGCCAACGACGCCAGCACCAACTGTATCCGCTTTTAACTCTGCGCCAAGTCCGTCTACGCCAGTGTCGCAGTTCAGTTACAAGCATAAGCAGGGTCTACCCAAATTTGTAGACCTCTCACAAAGTGCTGGTAGTGGATCTGAAACTGAAGGGAGAACAAAGCGCAAACGCATGAGAAATAAATTCTATGGTTATGAAAGCAATGATGAAGAAAAGAGCAATCAATCTGTTGGTAAACAGAGAAAGACTAATGCTGGTACCAGCTATCAAGTTAGCCAGGTGGAGTCCCCTGCTCACCCTCCCATGCCAACCCTTACCATCAAGCGCAGTCAAATCAAACCACCAAGGCCAGCTACTCCACCTCCTGTTGAAGAAAATTATTATGAGTCATCATATCTTGCTCCAACTTGGAGTAATGCTACCACAGCTCAGCCAAAATTGGACTCTGATTCAGATGCTAAGGCCAACAGTTCATCTAGTGACACAGACAGTGATGACGATGCCATGCAGATTGCGGAATCACCTCCTCCACAATATGAACCACCACGCACCGAGAACAAGGTCAACTTGTACTGTTACTGTCAGTGCCCTTATGATGAGGTGTCAGAGATGATAGCATGTGATGGTGATAACTGCAAAATTGAATGGTTTCATTTTGAGTGTGTGGGCATCATGGTTCCTCCAAAGGGGCAGTGGTACTGTCCTGAGTGTAGGCGCAGGATGTCAGGGGAAGGACAGGACTACATGCTCAATAATTAAAACGCTTCATACTCATCATGTAATAGAATTGTAAATATTGTATTTATAATCAACAAAACACCTGTTGCTTGTGAATTGTAACATTTTACAATTATGAATTTCCCTTTCAGAATGAAACTGGTGTAAAGACTTGTATTTAAGATATTAAATGTATCATATTTTTTGTATGATTTAGTACACATTTTGAAGAGGAAACATCTTTGAAATGTGTTGTATGTGAACTTCAAATGTAAGATAAATTCAATTGTTGTACATATATAATGGTGAATTAAATTTCTCACTAAGTGTATAGTGATGCAACATTTTTATGGATGTAAGTGAGCAAATATAGTTGTGGAATTTTATTCATTCGGCTATTGGAACTTAAGGAAAGCATGTTAATTGAATGGCAGTGTCTGTTACTGTTAAAGCAAGCTCTCGTTGCCTAAAGGTGTTGCCCCATCTTTGTTCGGTTGTTTATGAGACTTTCAGGTTTCAAATTAAACTTTTGTTGTAAGAGTTATCTTAGTTTGGACAATTCAGATACATGCAATATAACTGCCTGTTGTTAACACTAATTTGGTTGACTACAACATTCCTGCCTTTTTTTTTTTTTTGTTATTGTTGCCACAGCACAAACATGTCCTCTCAACAATTTTCACCCCAGATAGTGAGGCTGTTCTGCTGTTGATTTTCTAATGAACTTTTAATATCTGGGGTTAAGATTATAAAATCTTGTTCCATTTGTGAGATCAGATTCAAGACTTCATCTGTGTATGAAATATTTTTACTTTTTAGGCCTTTTTATATTGAAAATATGAGTTATGTGCCCTTGGTGTGAACTGAAGAGAGCCTTGTATGGTCAAAATTGTCTGTCTCTACACAAATTTTATTTCATGTGTACTCTTTTTTTTTTGTTTAATTTGACCTTTTGTTCTATCTTAATTTTCTAGTTGGTCTGTCATTTGTCCCTCTCAAAAGCTATTACACCTTCACAGCTTTCCATGTTGAGACAAAGTTGGTAGAAATTTTATTTAATGAAAGAATGTGCCTCAATTTATGAACTTGTGCTTCTAATTGCTAGATTTTACGCCGCCTACTTCCTAGTTTTTCATCAGTTTGGAACTTAAATAGAGTTATATATTTTCTGTCTTATGCACTAGTGATTGGAAGATGAACCTAGAGAATTATTTCAATAGGACACTAATATAAGTTAAATGAGTAAGTCTTTTCCCTCACTAGTTCATGAGCCAATACTCTATTACTTACTCTGTAAACTGTTAAAATAAATTCCTTATTTAAAAATAAATTATTATTGGTATGTGTGGAGAAATTGTGCAGTTAACATCAACTTTGGTGGGGCTGGAGTGAGTCTTGTGATCAGTACTACTGACTGTACTGTAACGTTATATCATTCATTCTTTCATGAAAGGCTGGACCTAATGTTTGAAAGTGTTCGCTAATAAACACCTTGAACTTTTGTAAAATTTGATTTCTACTTTGTCATGTTGGCACCCGAAAAAACTTGTGCACTCTAGTGGCTTCAAAATATCTCATTAATACTCTAATATGTTGTCTTTGAGATAGCTGGGACCTGTGATCAAAAATAAATATTAAGAAAATTATTATTTTTGATTATTTAATCAACCACTTGTGGGTATAGTCCAAAAATTGAAGAGTACAAAAAAATAACACTACTTAGTGATTAACCATTACAATAAATAGACAATACTGTTTCAAAACAAAGCATGTAAAATGATTTGAAGCCTTAACAAAAGACTGCTTTGTCAACATAATTTAAAAAAAAAAAAAAACTTGACTTTGCTTGCATCATAAAAATGATGAGAAGAATTAGAAACCTACACAAAACAAAAAGTCCACACAGTCAACACTTCAGTCCAGATAATCTCGTTTCCTTTTCTGAGAAGCTTTGCTCGGGGCGGCTACTACAGGCTTACATGAACAACTCACACCTCCAGTGAAAACATGTACAGAGTGACTGAAGTGTTCTTGAATTTGGGTAAGTGCACGTTTTGCACAAAATTCAATATTATCACAGTAGCACTCATGCACATAGACTTCTCTGAGTTTAGGTAGCTTCCCAGCAATTATTTCATGAGCAATAGTTATCACAGTCATGTTGTCCATTTCATGAAGGTAGAGTTTTTCTAGATTTGCTGTGCAACTAAATACATTCAACACCTCCATGGGATTCATCTTGCAGGAAACCAGATTCAAATGACTAATTTCTAGGTGTTTTTTAACAAGACATAGAAGCAGTGTCACGTAATCGCCTTCAACTCCAATCATTTTCAGATTTGATAATTTGGGAAAATACAAGGTAGATTTGTTCATAGCTAGTACAATACCTTTGACTTCCTTGACAGTTTCTTCCAAGCAATCAATAATCAAACTATCCAACATGCGACAACTTTCTAACAGCTTAAATTCTTTACAGAATGGAATCTGAATAGTATCTAAGTTAACACATTTGGAAAGGGCTTTGACTTCTCCCCTAAAATCTTTAGCATGACAAGATCCAAGGTAAACTTCAGTCCAGTTGTGATGTTGAGAAAGAATTTTCTGAACTGTATTCATATCTTCATAGGAACAGTCTTTCACATCGAGAACTTGTAGAGACTTCCAGCACGGTGCATCCTTAAGAAATTTGGCCTTGTGTTCCAATAATCCAGCTCCATCAATTATCAGGTACTTCAGCTTTGATAAATTTTGAACATGGTTCCAAACTTCCTTTACATCTGGTATATTGTAAGGCGTATGTGTATCTGAGATAATTAATTTTGTTACAAGATCTTTGTATCTCTTCAGCATTGTAAACATAACATTGGGAGGCATGTTATCATAAATAAACTCCAAAGTGGATATTTCTCGTGGATTCTCGGTTTTCCAATGATGGAAAAACTCTAGTCCATCTCTGTACTCGAGTTCAAGTGTCAAAGCATGTAAAATTGGTGCCTTATTTAAGAAATGGAAGAAATTCCGCTTCTTTGACTCCGACATGTATGGGTCGTAGAACAGGTGGCAGTCTTTCCAAAGGTCTTCTGCTGAGGCCAGAGTTGACCATCGTTTGCACACTTGAGGAAGCAAGAAGGCAATTACTTCCATTCCCAAGTTCTTGAAGATGCAGACAGCAAGGGTATCAGAGAGCCGATCAAAGTAGCAAACCTGTAAATAAAAAACCCACAAAATTACATGTATACTTCCCAAGTTTCCTCCAAAATAATTCACAATCAAACACGTCAGGGTTGTGACCTTCTGTGACAAAGAAGGAATTCTAAGTGGATCGTAATAATTAACTGCAGAGCTAATGAGATAAGAAGAAAGGCTGCTTCTGAGGCTGCCTCTGGCAGATTGTAGATTAATTGCAGAACTAGTTTACAGCAGAGCAAAGCCGTTCCAGAGGCAGCCAACAGGTGGCCATTCAAATTATTGGAGTCTTGATGGTTAGGACTACAAAAAAGACACAGGACAAAGGTGTTGGCGGTTTGGATTCTAAATGAACGCACTCTCGCAATCCTGTTACCTTGCATGGCTCTGCTTTGCTACATGATGGTTTCGGATCCTCGAGCGCGGGACTCGCAGCTGGCGCAGCAACAGGACCTGGGACATCGCCACTTCTCATGACACTACTTATCATCCCCATTGGTTCTGACTGCTGGATTCTTGGAGGGATTATTCCTCCACGGCTCCCGCCGCGAACTCGGTGTCTCATTGAGTCAAAGTCCAAATTTTGCACAACAACAAAGACAGGCACCGGCGTGGCGCGTCACTCTCGTCAGCTACGGTACGGTAGGTCACTGCTGGACTCGCTCAGCTCAACTTCCACCCCTCCCACCACCGCAACGCGCAGGCATCCGCACGCATCAGCAAGCAACCTGAGCAGACCAACCTTGGGGTGACGAGATAGCGCCCGCGTGCACGGGAAAAACTGACCTCTACATTCAATTGAAGAAAAACAGAACAACTTTTACCCTTTCGAAACGAGCGAGAGGTATGCACTCCTTTGAAACAACGGTAAATAGCGGAAACGATTTCTCCGTCGGGCGCAATATCGATCAGGTTGTCAGCACTGGAAATGAGGTTTTCCCTCTCCTGCCCTCAGGACGCGTTCGAAACATCCTTCCTTACTCGTTTTCTGTTTCTGTCCCTCGCATTGCTACTGGGGAAAGATGCATATGGATAGCGTGGACGAGATTTGAATGCCGTAGGATCGTGTATCGCACAGTTTTATCAACTCTTCACGCACGATTTTTTTTTTTGCGTGGGTGGAGTATTTTGATGGCCTTTGGTTGGCTAGCGTTGTCTCAGCTACAAGGCGGTGGTGAACTAGATTGTTTCTTTGGAAACGAACGGTTGCGAGGGTCCGGCACGCAGGGGCCCCAGCTTGTAGCTTGAGGAAGCACTACGACTGTTCCGGGCGTTCCGGCCGTTGCGGCTTTCAGACGACATTAGAGCCGATGGCCAAACTGTTGACCAGTGCCGAGGAGCTGACTCGCATCCTGGACGAAGCCGGCGAGAAACTCGTCATCTTGGACTTCTTCGCCACTTGGTGTGCACCGTGCAAGGTGGGGGAAGTGGAGTGAGGGTAGGCAACCCGCTGCACCCGGCTGGAACCTGGCTAAACCTGGCGTGCCTGGCGCAGATCATGGCGCCCGTCTTGGACGAGATGGCGCCGGACGACGCGGCGTTGGTGATCCTCAAGGTGGACATCAACCAGCTGGAGGAGCTCGCCGAGGAGTACGGCATCTCGGCCATGCCCACCTTCGTGTTCCTACGGAACAAGAAGATCCTGGGCACCTACGTGGGCGCCAACGTCACCAAGTTCAAGGAGACGATTGAACTGTACAAGGCGGGTGCCATGGCAAAGGGGAAATAAAGGGTACCAACTTCTTTCATAAACGTTTATTTTTATCAGAAAAATAATTTTATTGTACAACTTTGGAAGTAACATAATCACCGCCGTCATTGCGAATGCGGTAACATAACTTAGTACGTTTAGTATCACATTTCATTGGTTTTATTTCTAGCGACACAAAACATTCAGTAATATTTATCATAACACAACATCGTGTCCAAAAGTAGGAACACCATACACATACACATTTTGTAACAACAATATATACAAAAATATCCTTAAATGACAAACCAGTAAAACGAAATTTTGGTAGTACTGCCATTGCAGTAACAATACGGCACAAACGGCTGTTGAATTACTTTTACATAGATCCTCGCATTGTGCTTATTGTGCCAAACTGATAATATGTGAAATAAGTTTGGCACATTTATCCAGGCAGTGAATAGAGAGAAAAACTTAAATATTGATCACAGATTCTTCCTCAACCACATCTACAGATGTAACAATGTGATAAAAACTCACTCTCCTTGCTACAATGGCACATTTTCTTCTACCCCCGATTCCCACGCTAAAAATGGAAAAAGTTACAGTCCACTCGCACACACAAAAAAAAATGATAAAAAGTCTTGTTTCGTTGTGCTTAGGTTCAGACTGCAATAGTGAAGTCCTGGCTGCCCCCGCGCGTGCCGAAGATCTGGATGTGTGCGGGGAGGGGCAGCGGCATGCCCTGGCCGCCCCCAAGGCCCCCCAGGCCGCCCCCCAGGCCGCCCCCCAGGCCGCCCCCGAGGCCGCCGAGCAGTGCCCGGGGCTGGGGCTGCTCGCCCAGGCGGAGCGTCTGCTGCATGGACTCCAGGTCGCACTCGGCGTCGCTGAGGTCGTGAGGTCGTGGAGGTCGCTGGACGGCATCCGGAGGTCCATGCCCACGATGCCGCCCAGGCTCAGCTCGCGGTCCCGGCCTTCCCGACGCCTGCAACACGACCAGATGCAAGTGTAGTAGACGCCTGGGCCTGGCGGGCTGGCTCTGGCGGGCTGGCTCTGGCGGGCTGGCTCTCCGCGGCAGTCTCCTTACCTGTGTCTCCGCGACGGAAGCGTCAGCCGTTCAATAGTTTGCGCCGGCTCGGCTGATGTACTTAACTTTTGGCCTCGATAGTGGAAGCCTGCCGAGAGAGAAAGAACACGTGAGTCAACGATCCGGGGGAGGCACTGGGCGACATCCGTGTTGTGTTCTGTGGAGGCCTGAGCCGGCCTGCCGCTCGGCAGTGGAGCAGAGTTTGGTCGCTCTGTCTCTCTCCCGCCCGCACGGTGCGCCCCGTGAGTGCGAGAGAGACAGGGCGACGAAGCACTGTTCAGAATCAGCCTGCGGCCCTGCGGGGGCCCTGCGGGGGCCCTGCGGGGCTGGCGAGTCGCGAGGCGGGTTCCTCCTTACTGAAACGGTACTAACTTACTGTGTTGAGGCGAGGGCCTGGAGGTGGCGGACGAGAGCCTGCCGCTGCTGCGCCGCTGGTCCCTGGAGTCCCTGGGCTGCAGCGCGCGCTGCCCGCTGGAGGAGCTGGAGGAGCTGCGGCCGTCCTTGTCCGCCTTGCTGCTGCCACTGCCGCTGCCGCGGTGCTTGTGGGACGGGCGCAGCGAGCCTTGCACTGCAGCAGCAACAACAACAACGAGCCCTCAGTGCGGTCCGGCGACAACAACAAAAGGCAGCACAACAGCGCGGCGATGCGGCGTCCTTGTGTACTCACGGCCGTGCTCGCTGTCCGACCCAGACTCCGTCTCGTCCGATTCGGAGCGCTTCCCCGCCCCTCGGCTGTTGGCCCTGGACCGCGACCGGGACCGCGACCGGGCGCGGCCGCCGGGGTGGCCGCCGAGGGGCCGGATGTGCTGGTAGTGGTCCTCCTCCAGGTCCAGGCCGAGGCCCTGCCCCAGGCCCTGCCCCAGGCCGTGCTCCAGCGCGATGGCGTCGTGGTACCCAAGGAACGTCCCCCGGCGCTGCGGGTTGCCCCCCATGTTCTCGTGCTCCGGGAGGTGGAACGTCGCGTACGGGTAGATGTCCTCCGAGTACTCTGCGAAAAGCGGCGCGGTCGTGGGTTCAAATCCCGCAAAGTCTGAGGTTAAAACGAGCGAGAGAGGTAGGCGAGTACCTGGTATCCTCTCCAACGCGTTGATGTCCCTGCACGGCGACTGCAGCGGCTTGCGGACGGACGTGTAGTACTGGTCGCGGTGCTCCATGCTCATGTTCTGCTTGTTGTCCAGCGACACCATGGCGGCAGCCCGGTTCTCGAAATCTGGACAAAATCGAATAGTCGTGCATTGGTTGGTCGCTGGTTGGTTTGGGCGTGTGGCGGGCTTCAGGACACTCACTCCTGCGGAAGCAGAAGCAGGCCAGCACGACGGCCAGCACCAGCGCCACCACGGAGACCACGGTGGGGGCCACCACGGCCGCGTCCAGGTAGAACGGCGTCGAGGACAGCCCCGCGTCCGAGACGGCCGAGTCCATGTCGCCTGCGGACAAACAACGGGGGCGGATGAGCACTGCGCGCCCCTTCGGCCGGGCCGTCGAGGAGGCGTCGACGAGGACCCACCGTCCGCGCCGAGGGCCGCCGGCGTGGTGAAGTTGTACAAGTGCACCGTGGATCCCGCGTTGTTGTGCGCCGTGACGCGCACCGTGTACCGCGACCGCGACACCAGCGGCGCGATGGACAGCCGCTGCGTGGGCAGGGCGTTGTTGGACACTGCGGCAACGAAACAAGCATCGCGTTAGCGGCGAGGCCACGGCGCCGAGGCTGGAGGGCATGGCGGCACTGACCGAGCAGCCAGGCGTCCGCGTCGCGCTGGTACTCCACCACGAAGTACAGGATGGGGCACTCGTTGTCCTGCCAGGCGGGGAGGTGAAGCGTGGCGGCGGTGGCGTTCACGTTGAGGAACTGCTGCGGCGCGGCGGCGCCGGGCTTGCCGCCCTTGGTGGTGGCGGTGCGGAGCGCGGACGCGGCGCCGCTGCCGATCTTGTTGAAGGCGGTGAGCGTGAACTGGTAGCGCGTGCCGCAGTGCAGGCCGGCCAGCAGGTGCGTGGAGGCGCGCCGGTCCAGCGACGCCTCCTCCCACTCGCCCAGCTCGCGGCGGAACGCCAGCACGAAGCCCCGCACCGCCGCGCCGCCGTTGTCGCCCTGCTTCCACTGCAGCTGCACCGAGTCCACCGTCGTGGTCGTCGTCAGCAGCAGCGGCGCCGTCGGCGGCACTGGAAGCCAAGTCCGGGTCACTTGCAGCTGGCCGAGGCCAAGAGGGGCACCAAGAACTAGGCCCGGCGTACCTTGCACCTGCAGCGAGTACACGATGACGTCACTGCCCGCCGGGTTGCTGGCGTGGCACGAGTAGTTGCCCTCCACGTTGCGCTGCAGGTTGCTCAGCACCAGGTGGTGCTCCCCCTGCTGCTGCTGCTGCTGCTGCTGCTGCTCCAGGCGGACGTCGCCGTGCCGCCACTCGACGGCGGGCGCGGGCTGGCCCACCACGATGCAGGCCAGCGTCACGTTGGTGCGGTGTGGCAGCACCAGGCTGCGGCCCCACGACACGATGGCGGCGGGCACTGTCCACACCAATACACTCACTCTTACATCGGTTTTACAGTGGCCTTGAGCGGTGTTTTGGAAGAGTCCTCACCGCTGTTGCTGGTGCTGGGGGAGAGCGGCACGGTGCGCGACTGGCGGCCCGGCCCCACCTTGGTGGAGGCCGTGACCCAGGCCTCGTACGTGTGGTCGTGGCTGAGGTCCACCACGTCGTAGTGCTGCTGCGAGGCCAGGACGGTGCCCTTGACGACGGGCGCGCGGTCGCCGACCTGGCGCACGTGCACCGTGTACTTGAGCAGGCGGCCGTTGGCGCGGCGCGGCGCGGTCCAGCTCACCACCACGGCGCTGGGCGACCGCACCACCGCCTTGATGCGCTCGGGGGCGTCCGGGGCTGCGACGGCATGGCGGCGGGCAAACAACAAACATCAAACATCGACTGCCGTCCGGAGTCTGCGCCCGGAGCGCCCGGAAGGCAGGCAGCCCGCCGACACCGGAGCCTGGCGGGTCGGCCTAGCCCGGGCACCGCAGGCGCTAGCCCTGCCGGCCCTGCCCCTCCACTCACCGGCCTCTTCCGTGCTGCACACGATGGGCTTGCTGGGCACGCCGTCGCCCGCCCTGGTGAAGGCCAGCACCTGCACGGAGTAGTTGGCGGCGGGGACGAGGCCGTGCAGCACCGTGTTGGTGGAGGTCATGGCCTTGCTCTCGCGCGACGTGGCCTCTGCAACACACCCAGGAAAGTCAGCGTCCGATTTCTCGGCGTCACTCTGCCGGCGAGATGACGCCAAGTTGTCCAAAAGTGGCAAGGCAAACTTACCCGAGACGCCGTCGTCGTCGGCGGGCTCGTAGATGAGTCGGTAGCCCTGGATGACGCCGTGCGCCAGGTGCGGCGACGGCGGCGTCCACCCCACTTGCAAGTTGTGCGCCGTGAGCGCCGAGCACTGCACGTCGCGCGGCGGGCCGCCGGGCGCTGCGAACAGGCCGTTGTGTTTCAATGCAGCGAATGCAGCGGACAGGCACAATGACAACAGCCCTCGGACTTTGCAGCCTTTCGCAAAGCCTGCGCTCGGCGCAGATTAGAAAGGAAATTGGTGGACTTGGGGAAATTCACAGCCTCAGCAGCCGCTGGCTGGCCCAGCCGTTGGCCGACGCCGGGCGCTGCAAACTTTGCTCGTGGAAGCGCGCGCGGCGCGGGCGGCGCGGGTCCGACCGACCAGGCAGGCACGAATGGAAATATTGACAAGTTTTGCTTCTGCAGGAAGGGGGCGGGGAAGGCAATGGGGAGATTGAAGAGAAAAGTTCGGTGGATCTTTCACCAATTACTACTGTGATGGGAGGGGAGGGGGAGGGGGAAGTTACCGGGGCGGAATGTCCCCCGGCAGTGGCAGAGAAATCCAACCGTCAAGTTGTTCCTTTCATCTCCTACGAAAGCCATCGCCGTCTCCGGGGCGGGCCAGAAGTCCATCGGAGGCCGGGATGTCCGTTCGCCCCGCCCCGCCCCACCAATAAACTCACCCCAGCCGTAAACATCGTCCAGCGTTCCCAGGGAGAGCCGGGGGCGCGGAGGGGAAGGGGAGCTGTCTGGGAGGATTTGAACTCCGTAACTTACCGTCCTCCAGGGTCTGGGCGATGACGACCGGCGACTGGGGGCCCTCGCCCCGCGTGTTGAACGCCTGCACCACGACCTGGTACTGGGTGAACTTGTCCAGGCCCGAGAGCCGGAAGTCGCCAGACACGTCGCCCGTCATGGACACCCGCGTGTAGTTGAAGGACTCCTCCGCCGACCTGGCGGCAAAATTTGAATTAGGATGGCACAGTGGGCCAGAAGACCGGTGGAGGCGGCCGAAAATCTGACGCGTGTTGAGCTTCAGAGTCGCTAAACAGGATTCGAACCGAACGTGTGACCCCACCAACGGATTGCTCTCCGAACGAGGAATCCATTGGTGGGGTCACACGTTCGGTTCGAGTCCGATTTAGCGACTCTGGAGCTCTAAACGCGCCTGCCTGGCCACCCACACCCACCCGAGGTGCCTGAAGCCGATGACGTAGCCCAGGATGTCGCCGTTCCACAGTGTGCGGTCCGGCGGCTGCCACGTGATCCGGAGCTGCGTCGACGAGGCCGCCTCCACGGACACCTGCAGTGGCGGCCCGGCGGGCACCTCGCTGTCCGTCACGGCCTGGAAGCAGCACCAGCACACTGTATTCGCAGAGCCACGCGGCCCACTTCGAGGAACACATGTTGCTCGGCCACCTGTCCCGGTGGCCGTCAACTCGGCTCGCGTGCGGTGCGAGACGCGGCCAGCCCCTGCGGAAGGCCTTGAAGGCCGTGGAGGCCCTGACGCAGCCGCCAGCCGCGCCTGGGGGTGAATGCCAACGAGCTTGCAGTGGCTCGGCCTGCCGGCCATCAACAGGTGACACGGAGGGTGCTCGCTCGTATGACAGGCTGCCAGCCGAGCCTCTCCCTCGCACGTGTGCGGGACGGCCCGAGAATGCGAGGGAGAGAGAGAGAGCCCTCTCAGTCGGCCGGCCTGCCAGGCGCACCCCTCGACGCTGTCCCCTGCCATTAGGCCACTGCCCGTCCCACTCCGGCCAGCACGGCCAGCCACCGTGCGGCTCCTCGGTTCATGTTGCACTTTGGAGACGGCACTGCAAAAAAAGGGGTGGGGGCGGAAAAAGGTGGGAAGTCGTCCTGCGCCGCGTTAGCGACTCGACGATACACTGCTCGGGGTACTTCACGCGGACTGCTTGCTGTCGGGCGAGCAGACAGTGAATGAGTAGTGGGACAGACTGATTCAATGACGGTGGGCGGAGGAGTGGGGCAGTAAAAAGCAAAACACACACACAAGCGCGAGGTGCCCAGGCTCCTCTGCAGTCGCGCGCAAGTCGAGGCGGGGGCGAGGGGGGGGGGCAAGTACGCTGGTCGGAGATTCATAATGAAGAGGGTGTGGTGGTCCACTGGTCCACTCACGTGCAGCACGTCGGACGCGGCCGAGGTGCCCAGCTGGTTCTGCGCGAAGATCCGGAAGTGGTAGGCCGTGGCGGGCCGCAGTCCGGCGATCAGCGTGGACGTCTCGGCGCCCTCCAGCACTTTCTGCTGATTGTGCTCGTGCCAGACGTCTGGAAGAGAGAGCGAGAAAGAGAGTCAGCAGGCAGCGGCGTTAGCGGGGCTTAGGGCGGCCAGGGGCAGCCCACCCGCAAGATAAACCCACCTTCCCTCCCTCCCACACGTCGTCGCTCTGTCTCTCTCGCAGTCGCAGAGCGTCCCGTTCAGGTGCGAGAGAGACAGAGCGACTCTCGGAATCGGTCTGCCGCTGCAACGTGGGCCGAGATATCCTCTGTGTGTTCGGCTGCCTCCACGCGGCAAGCCCCCCATTGTCTGTGCCGCGCTGCCGCGCTGCGGGCGGCGCGGTGACCCCGCTCCCCCGCTCTCGGACGCGGCCCGGCGACGCGTACAAAAGTTTGTGAAATAGTGAGGCAAGCGGGCGGCGACGCGACGCGGCGGCAGCGCAACTATTCCTGGGTCGCTCCCTCCGTCCCTCCGCCTCCGCGACTCGTACGGCGAGCGAGTGCAAGGAGGATCCGAAAAGAAAGAAGAGGAGGACGCCGTCCTCTTGGAGGCATTCATAAGTGACACGCCAATTCCGGCGACGCAGCCAGCCCAGAGAACCTGACTGTCCCCGCGTGGCACGCTAAGTACTCGGTAATACCCCACGCGCCGCGGGTAGAAAACGACCTCTGGGGCATTGAGTATCACCCGCGTTGGTGCCTGCTAAAGCTCCCGTTTTTTGCCAACGTTGCCTTCCGAGAGACTCACCTCGCGCCTCCTTGTACTGCACGATGTAGGACACGACGGTGGAGTCCGAGGCGCTGGGCGCGGGGCTCCAGGACAGGGTGACGGAGCGGCCCGTCTGCTCCGAGACGCGCAGGTTCCGTGGAAAGTCGGGCAGCTCTGCAGACAGACACGTCGTGTGAGGCAACGAAAATGGCCACAACGGAAAGCACCATGATGGGTGGCCCCGCCGGCCCGGGCCGCACCTTGGACCAGCAGCTGCACCCCCAGGCTGTCCTGGCCGTAGGCGTTGGTGGCGATGCACTGGTACTCGCCGCGGTCGCGGAGCTCCGTCTCCTCCACGATGAGCTCGGACTGCACGCCGTTGCCGGGGCCCGCCGCGCCCGGGGCCACGCCGCCAGCGCCGCCAGCACCACCGGGCAGTGTCGTGGTCTTGACGCCGTACCTGCGGGGGAAAAAAGGGTTCAATCTCGGAAACAGGAGGCACCTCGATAACGAGTTTCAATGCACACACAAACACTGAAATTGAAAGGTAAAATGGAAACACGGGCTGACCGTCCGTCGAAGGCCGGGTCGATGCGCGACCCCCGCAGTCGCCACGAGATGTCCAGGGGCGGGTCGCCGTCCGCGGCACACCGGAGTGTCGCCGCCTCGCCGCGCCGCACCGTCTCCGTGCGCGGCCTGGCGCGGATGCGCGGCCCCGCTGCAGCCAACCGGGAACAGGGGGGCGAAATGACAACCCGAGCGAGATTACGACGCCGGAGCAGCGGCCGCACAGTGGGCTAGAAGACCAGCGGCCAAAACTTTCGACCCGTTTTGAGCTCCTGAGTCGCTTAACGGGACTAGAACTGAACGCGTGACCCCACCAATGGATTGCTCTCCGAACGAGGAATCCATTGGTGGGGTCACACGTTCGGTTCGAGTCCTGCTTAGCTACTCTGGAGCTCAAAACGCGTCTAGAGTTTTGGCCGCCTCCACCGGTGGCAAATCCACTGCGGGCCGGGGTGGCAGGGAGCTCACCCAGCACGTTGAGCTTGACGAGCTTGCTGAGCGCGGGGCCGATGCCGTTGGAGGCCTGGCACAGGTAGTGGCCCTTGTGCTGCGAGCCGGCCTCGGGCAGGAACAGGGACCCTTCCTCCAGCTGCTGGAACTCGAAGCCCAGGTCGCGGAACTCCTGCGGCTGCGTGCCTGGGGACGCAACGGGCCGTGGAGGTTACACACTCGAAAAATGAGCAAGTCGACCGGGGAAAAAACGTTTAAAATTTGCAAAGTTGTTACCGATGGCCTGCTTCCACGTGATGGTGGGCTTGGGGAAGCCGTCCGCCTGGCACTGCAGTGTGGCGGCCTTCCCCAGCACGACGCTCTGCTCGGCGGGCTCCAGCACCCAGCGCGGCGGCACTGCGAGACAGGGGAGAACCATCAACGGACACCGAGCCGCGACGCGCCGCCAAACCGCGCTCACCAACCGCACGGGCCACGGGACCAAATGAAAGTGCACAATTTGAAACGCGTAGTGCGGCGCTACGCGACGAACGCGGGCCTCTAAAACGCGCCATTTCGGCGAGTTACGACGCGGCCTATGGTTTGAGCTCGGTTTTCGGGCGCCACACATCTCAACGATGGAGAGAGACAGAGAGAGAGATGGCCGTCGGAGGGTGGGGGTCCTGGCAAACAGGGCGCACACTTTCAAATCCATCCCCAAATTTTGTTTTGAAAAATAATTAGCACGGGTGAGGCTAGTTGAACGATCTGAACTGTGCTCCATCGCCACGCCTCTCTCTTACACTCCTACAGAACGGCCCTACGAGTGCGAGAGAGACAGGGCGACAGGCTGCAGCTCATTTCGTGGCGCGCCGGCGCAGAGAACGAGGTTTTGTAATTACCGAATGGGGCATACTCGCCGACCAACCCACCTTTCCAGCACCCTGTTTGCCAGACACACTGCCGGCGACGCTCGGCCGGCTTCACGCCCTCTAGTGGCGGGCTCGGAAAGCTCGGAGAGCAAAGGCGTGTCCTGGAGGGACTCAACGAAGCTACCGCATGCCATGCGGGACGCTGCATGCAAAACGCTACGCTACCAAGCAAAAAGCGTTTTAGAAAGGTTTTTTTTTTCAACAAAACAAAAGGCGAAGAAAACGCGAGTAGGAAAGTGCTCCCGGACACGAAGAGTGAAAATTCGGTACAGTCTAGGCGAGAACGAACGTAACGTGGCGGAGACACCTACACGTGTGACTGGGGTGGCCGCTCCTTCTAACGTTCTAAACTTTCTCGTTCAAATCCTCTTCTTGAAAACATAATTTTACGGGACGTCTAAACTGCCTCTAGTTTTGCCAGCGGGGCTCGTGAAGAGATCGGCTCTAAACTCAACGCAGTGCTGGGCATGCCCTTGGTTGCCACAACGAAACGGTGCTCTCAGGGCGGAAGTACGACAAACGGTGCGTTACAAGAGCTACTCAAAACGCGGGAACCTCCAACATGGACCACGCCGCCTCGCGCAGCGGAGCAAAAACAAACAACCAAAAAAAAAAAAATCGAGACAGCGGGAAGGAAAAACAAAAACAGCCCTTCAGGTGCCATGTCTCGTAGGTAAAAAAAGTTTCGATAATGAAAAACCTAAAACGGATGAAAAGGGGAATCGGAAGTGCGGTCGCCTCGCACGGCGCGCGATCAGAATCGAGTGAGAAAAACTTGAGCGGAGATGCTGGCCTTGTTGGTGTTCTGCTCCTTGCCGAACCACCTGACAAGACCCATCACGGCGCCCGGGCCGGGCCTTGTTAGAGGGGCACGACAAGGCCCCCACCACCCCGGGCACGGCCGGGGCACGGCCGGGGCACGTCTCGACTTCCGGGACGAGTCGTCGCTCAAGTTGCGAGCGTGATACGAACGGGCCGCCAACACACACACACACACACACACACACACACACACATACACACACAGTAACACATACATACACGTGTGCGCTCACACCCAACCTCCCTGTTTCTTGACGTACGCACTGCGCTCTGCACTCTCTCCCACATTCACTCACCCCTTCACTCCTCACACACAACACACACATACACTCACACCCACACACACTCACACCTCTGACGCGCGCGAGCAGGTAAAACTCCGCGCAAGGAACGATGAGTTTTCTCACGTCAAGATTTCGGCTGCGAGCGAGGAAATATCCAGAGCAGCGCGGGGGGGGGGGGGGGGGTCGACTGCGGGCGGCAGTTACAGGACTCTCAGAAAAAAGAGGTGAAAAAACCCGAAATGCCGCTGGGAAGAGTGAAATGAAAATAATGCAAAAAATGACACCTGGATTTAAAAATCGTCCAGCGAAAAAGAAAAATGACAAGAAAGCGAAAAACCGGCGCATGCTGGAGGTTCGTTCCGGGGCCTTTGGCTGCCTTTGGCTGCCTTTGGCCTTTGGCACGCTGTTAGGCCCTGCTAGGCGCTGCGAGGTTTGTTGTTGTTTACCCGTGACCGACAGTGTGGCGGTGTACTCGGCGCGGCCCGCGCTGTTGGCCACGACGCACGAGTAGTTGCCGCTGTGGCTGGCCGCCACACTGTGAATGGTAAGCACGCTCGAGTAGGCCGCAAAGTCTTTGACCTGGATGCCGGTCGAGACGCCGGAGGACGCGTCCAGGGGCTTGTTGTCTTTGACCCAGGACAGCGAGACGGGGGGGTCACCCTGCGACGCCGTGCACATGACCTGCGTCCGCATGCCCTCGGCCAGCCCCTCCTCAAAGTAAAAGGGCGCGATGCGGGGCGGGACTGCGGGCAGGACGAGCCGAGGCGAGGCCAAGGCCATGCCAAGGCGACCAAGCGATTAGCGACAGGAAACAGTGTGGGAACGCCCGGCTGGCCGACTGGCTGGCCGTAGTTACAAAAAAAAAAAAAAAAAAAAAAAAACAATTTAATTTTTTTTAATATTTTTCAAAGTTTAAACATGTCTCGGAATGTTTAACTCAAAACGCACAGCCCCAGTCCAGCCAGCCGGTGCGTCCGCACCGAGGAAGACAGACAGACAGACAGAGAAGTGGAGCCACGCCGTCGTCGTCTGGACAAACGGTCGAGGTTTTTTTTTTTTTTTTTTTTTTTTACACAGACTGCAGGGCGCAGCTCGGCGGGTCGGCAAATCGGCAGGCCAGCGGTTCAAAAGCAACCAAAATAATATGGATAACGATAACAAATGATAAAATCAATCAATCCGGAAACAAAATATATAGATACATGAAGCGATGGGTTACACAGAGAAAAAGGTGTGGCGTCCGTGTGAGTCTCTAAGGGGGTGGATGAAAAGTATGTTGTGGGTCTTTAGACAGGTGCAGTTTAGTGGGACCGCTCCAAAGACCGTTTACCATTTTGGGGTGAATCGTCGTTCGAAGAACATTCGCCGACTCTACGTTTTATTTATTCAAATTTAATTTACGCGACCAGTTTTTCTCTGTGTAGTTACACGCCGAGGAGCGTTCCACATACGTAACCATGCCGTGAACAGTGTACTGTCGACCGTTTTAGTGGCTGGACTTTACATGTATGCTCAGGTTCGTTGAGAACTGCACTTTGGTCGAAAGGGAAACACGGACCGTGTGGTTATTCTTGGCATGGCGCGGGTGGTGTGGTTCCTCCAGTGTGTGTCATGTAATGCGTTACGAAAAGTAAAATGGAATGTTGTCGGCATGCACAAACTGCCCAACGCACGCGGCCACGCGGCGCCACGCGGCCTCGGCACAAGGATTACAGTGGCGCTCCGGGTCCGTGCCGGACGGGCGAACGGACCCGTTAGCAGTGTGGGTCCTTCGTCGCCGCCGCTCCGGCACCGGCCCGGCCCCACAGCTCCACATACACAGCAAAAGAGAGACTAGGGGACCAGCTTCATGCGTATCACTGTCTTGGTGTGAGGCCTCCGCAGGGCGGCAGGGCGGTCGGGCAGCCCTCGGGCAAGCCCTGCCGAGCCCTGCGCGATGCGAGGGGAGGAGCGGGACTAAGAAAACCAGCTACCGCCAAAACCAGATACCGGTATTCGAACCCGGGCCTCTTGGTTCGCAGCCGGCAGCGCTAACCACTACGCCAAGGTCCCCTCGCTGCCCCGCACGGCGATTTACCGTTGACCTGCAGAGCGGCCGTGAATGTGACGGTGGAGGCCTGGTTGGACACCCTACACGTGTAGTTGCCGCTGTGCTCCGTGCCGATGGTGCCTATGCTGAGCGCGCTGCTGAAGTCGTCGCTCTGTCGCACCGAGACGTCGGCCAGGCCGCCGAGGCCGAGGCCCTGGCCGTCCACGAGCGCACCGTCTTTGAGCCAGGCGAAGGACAGGGGCAGGTCCCCGCTCGTCACCACGCACTGGACGCTGGTGCGGTCGCCTACGTTAAGGTCGCGCGGGAATGTGATCGGGGTGACTTTGGGTGGCACTGTTGGCAACAAGCAGGTCATGTTGGACGTTTTTTTAAATTGGTGGTTTGCAAGTAATCTGTTTTTATTAGACATAGAATGAAAAAAAAAATGTATCCGGAAAGTAAGTGGTTTGACCTCGTATTTGGGTTTACGATTGTCTCGACGTCTGCAATGTTTGTCGATGTGCTGTCGATGCACCGCAGGACACTCGGACGCCGGGTCACCAATGCATTACACTGATGCGAACCCCGGAAAGTGCTAGGATCATTGTACTGGAAACCTTTTTCATCTCGACGACCCACATGCATTTATCGAGCAAACTTGCATCAAAGGGGGATGGAAATAAATCCCTCTCTTGAAAGAGAATGTTTGGGTCCTTTGAAACGCTTACGTGAAAGAGGGACAGGTATTAAGGTTGGGTATCACCGGGCAAACACTACAGTTTGCCAAACAAGTTTTTTTTAAAATGTGTAAGTTCTGTTACACTACTACCCAGCTGCTTATGCCTGAATGAATGCGTTCTCACTGAGTCAAAAAACAGTCGAAAAGTTAACCAAAGTGAAAGTAAAAGAACCTGTCGGTGCAAAACTAAATTCCGCCACGTTGGCGTGCAGCGCTAATTTTTCGGGGCATTCCTCCCTGCCGTTTGGTATGTTGTGATGAGGTTTGCCGCACAAAACAAAAACGGAAATAACACTGCGAAATAACTCTGCGACATGCCGACCGCCGCAGCAGCGCTGCCTGGACCACTTATTTTATAACAAAAAAAAAATGACGCACACAGTAACACTCATGAAACAAACACTGAAACTGGGAGGACAACAACAACATGGCCGCGACCGCCAATTTGCGTTGTTGGGTTTTGTTTTTGTTTTTTAAAACGTGAAATTGCACATAAAGGCACGTGGTGCACTGTAGAATGGCGCAAGGTTCGGGGCTGGCGACGACCACCTGCCCCTTCGGGGACCGCCCGGCCTGCACGGCCTGCACGGCCACAGGTTATGAATGGCTTAGCCACTCTTAAACTGACTGGCGATGGGGTTTTCCCGAAACTTTGGCGCGCTGGCTTGCCCCTGCACTGCACCGGTGTGCCTCCCCCTCCTCCGCAAGAACCTCCCCCCCCCCTTTCTGCTCCTTGTCAGTCTCAGCCTCCGTTTACGACTAGCCCCGCCGGATATCATACACGTCCTCAAAGTGGCGTATTAAAGCAATTCCGTAATGAAACTCGAAGGCCGTAAAACGAACGATAAAGCGCGGCGGCCTTCCGGCCTTTCCGGGCTCGTTGGGCGCGTCTATCGCGCGTTGCAGCAAAAAGGGGGAGGGGCTTGTCGGTGACACCGAGCGACCCGCGCTGCCCGCGCGGACGGACACTGCCCTTCCTAACCTCATTTTCTTGTCGTATCACAGCTCTGCCCCCCTCGTCCCCCTGCCCCCCAGGCTCATTCGTTCCGGCTCCAGTCGTATCGGAGTTGTTGTCCCGCTGTCCTTCCCAAACTGCGCGCCGGACTTCCCCCACCCCTCCCCCGGAGCGGCGCTCGTCCCATATGCAGCCCTGCCCCGCGCTCCCCAGCGAGCCATACCGGAGCGCCGCTTCCCACCCCGGGGCCGGAGCTCTCCGACGCATATGGGGTCGGCCGGGCCCGACCCGCTGGACCCTCTTTGATTCAATTAAACTTTTCCCTTCTGCCCGCCGCGGACTGGAGCTGGGACTGCAGCTGGAGCCGCGAGCGCGTCCAGAATAGCGCCGCGGAGACGCCGATCTGGCCGAGTGACAGACTGGCGGTGCGTTGACGGGAGGAAAAGACGCGGCCCAGGACGCAGCGCTGGCCTGGATTCCTAGACAAGGCCTATCTTTAGCAGCTCGCCATCCTCGCCCAGCCCGGCACTCGCTGGAGCGCCTGCGACGCTCGGGCTAGGCCGGCCCGTCGGACGCGCGAGTGCCGCGTGTTGCCTACCCTCTAGGGCGCTAGTCCCCAGAGCGCCCAGAGCGCGGCGTGGCGCGTGCGGCGTGCACACTGCGGTGCTCTCACTCCTTATCGCCCGGGCCGAGTGAAACCAGCAACTAGCCCCCCGGGGCGTTCTCACGGGTGCGAGGGAGGCCTCGCGATGCAGTGCAGGTCCTTTGCCCGTTCCAAAAAATGTGGACACGAAACCGTTCCCGGTTGACGTGACCGGGGGGCGACTCACCCAGCACGCGCACGAGGACGCTGCGCTTGGAGGCGTGGCTGTGCTTGGCGCGCGCCGTGCACGTGTACGTGCCCTGGTCGCTGGCGTGCTGCACGTTCTCGATGGTCAGCGTGTTGGCGGACACGCGCTGGCGCATGATGCTGGGCAGCACCACGCCGTCTGCAAACAAGGCGGCCACTTCAAACGGCAGCAGAGGTACTCTGCAGTGGGCCGGAAGACCGGTGAAGGCGGCCAAAACTCTAGACGCGTTTTGAGCTCCAGAGTCGCTGAGCAGGACCCGAATTGAACGTGTGACCCCACCAATGGATTCCTCGTTCGAGAGAGCAATCCATTGGTGGGGTCACACGTCCGGTGCTATTTTACACTTTAAGTTTGGTACTCACAAAGTACTTCGAGACGATATTTTTCGGATGGGAAAATAGCTAAGTTGGTCGGTATTTGAAGCTCACCTTTCTCCCAGCTGACGCTCTCGATGGGGTAGCCCGCCACGGGGCACTTGATGTGGAGGCTCTTCCCCGCCACGGCGACAATGTCGGGCATGGGCCGCACAAAGGGGGAGCCTGGCGGACGCACAGAGACAGACAGTCAGACGGACAGACGCTAATTAGTCGCCAATGAACACACCGATCTGTGGCGGCAGCGGGCGGCAGTCCACAGGCCGCCTAGGCCGGCCTAGGCCGCCGTGCTTTGAGTTGGCAAGCGCGGCGCGGGGAACAAACCGGTAACTCGGAGTTGGCGACGCGGACCCCGGCCAGGCCGGCAGAAGCACAGGTTTGGTCGCCGGCAGGGCGATTCGGAACATGTCGCTGTCTCTCTCGCACCCCTGCGGGCTCTGCGGGCCGCCCCGTGAGTGCGACAGAGACGGAGGCAGCCTGGCCTGGGGCTTGGGGGCGGCACGGCGGACAAAGACAGCGTCAGAGCGATGCGCGACTGTCCGCGGCCATTGTGCCCGCCCTCGCCAGAGGCTTCCAAAATAAAATGTTATTCGTTTCGGTTTGCGCTATCGGATTATACACTGGTGTAATTCACGGAGACAAAGCCGCCAGCTGGATACACGATCTCAGTCGCCGCCGTGGATGTTTCGTCCCGCTGTCGCCGTTGGCGCGCGGGGTGTCGAGTCCTGGAAGCCGCCGTCGTCCGATTGTTTAGCGCGGCCCGCTGGCCGTTGGCTCGGCGCGCTCCTAGAGACCAAGAAGGCCAAGAAGGACAGCGCGTTCCGCCGTTGTTAATGCTTCCTGTCGGGGGCCACGACGGGGACCTCTCATCCGGCGACGACGCGGCGCGCGGCCGGCGCGTTCCGAACAGTCGCTCTGTCTCTGTCGCACTCGCGGCCGCGCCCGCGGCCCCGCGGGGGTGCGAGAGAGACAGCGATGACGGAGGGCGCGGCGGACGGCACGCTGCTGGCGCGGTGGCGGCAAAGCTGGCGGCAGTGCTCCCGAGAGGGTACACGCGGACGGGGGAGGGGAGGGGCGGGGGCATCACGAAATGAAATTGGCAGCCGTTGGAGGTCATAACTCAGGATTCAATCACAGTGGTACCCGCTTGCGCCGCGTTGCGTGGCGCGGCGTCGCGGAAGCTTCGGTTACTTCCTCCGGTTTACGGTTTGACGGCGACGTCGGCTGTGACGCTGCGGGATGATCGCTGTCTGTCTCTCTCGCACTCACGGGGCGGCCCGCATGGGTGCGAGAGAGACAGAGCGACGAAGGCGCGGATCGGATTCGACCCCCTGGCGCTCACTCCCCTCGCTAAGGGACTCTCGCAAACCAACGGGACTTACAGAAGGCTCAGCTTCCAGAAGGTTAGGATAGGGACGAAAACATATAAGAAAAAAAGACGCAAAAACTACCAACCGTAGATGTTGAGGCGGGCCTGGTGCTTGGCGACGCCCGCCCGGTTCTCGGCCTCGCAGTCGTACTCGCCGCCGTCCTCGGCCTTGACGTTGCTGATGTTGACGTGGCTCACCACGTCGCCGTACAGCGTCACGTACTGGCCGATCATCACCCTGCGAGCAAAACGTGCAAAGGTATTTTAGCGAGAAAAAAAATTATTTTTTTAAAAAAAAGTGACGGTGCTAATTTGATGCAAAATGGGTGCGTACCTCTCGTTGGGCGGCAGCGGGAACCCGTCCAGCTTCCAGGACATGTGGGGCGTGGGGTTGCCCGACGCGGAGCACTTGAGGGACACGCTGGGGCCGGGCTGCATGGTCTGCTCGATGAACTTGTACTGCAGCGTGGGGGCGGCGTCTGAATGTTGACAAAATATTTAAAAAAAGAAAAAGAAAAAAGAAAAAGAAAACGAAAAAGGAAACGAAAACGAAAAAAGAAAACGAAAAAAAAAGAAAAAGAAAAAATTGAAAAGAAGGATTTGAACCCACCGCCCAGCCGGAGCTCCGCGATGCCCTGGGCCATGTCGTGGTCGTTGCGCACGACGCACTGGTACATGCCGCGGTCCTCCTTGCTGACGGCGGTGATGTGCAGGCGGTCGGCGGCCAGCAGGCGCACGCGGCCGCCGCCCGCCCCGGACGCGGGGTCCAGCTCGGCGCCGTCCTCGATGGGGGCGGGGGCGGCGGCCAGCCCGCGCAGCGGCCGCCCGTCCTTGAGCCAGCGCACCTGCTGGCGGGGGAAGCCCGCCGCCTGGCACACCAAGTCCGCGCTCTTGCCCACGTCCACCGTCTGCCGCGGCGGCAGCACGTGCACCGACAGCGGCGCCCACACCTGCAGCGCCAGCTCCAGCACCTGCGCGCCAAACATTCAAATTTGGCGGGAAAACACAAAGAAACAGCCGGTCAGGCGTCAAAATATCGCGGCCCTTGGACTTGGTTTCGACTTCCTTGTCCTCCGGCAGGTTGGCGTTCACCACGGTGTACACCGGGGGGTCCGCGTTACGGCACAGTAACTAGGCCTAGTTAGGCCTTCATTTGGGTGTTTCGAAGTTGAGCCTGCAGCGAGGACGCTGTTCACTCGCCCTGTCTCTCTCGCGCCCCTTGGAGAACAGCTTCCAGACTGGGGCCATTACGGGTTCACGGCTTTGACGGCGTCGCCAAGCCACTGCAAGAATCCACGCGTTTGTACTCGCCTCGCTGCCCTCGCTGTTGCTGGCGTTGCAGTAGTAGACGCCCGCGTCGGCCTCGCGCACCGACGGGATGGTGAGCGTGCCGTCCTTGACGGAGAAGCGGTCCAGCGCGTCCACGGCGTTCTCCTGGCCCTGCCGCCACCACCTGCAACACGTCCCTCCGTCACTCCGCCGGTCGCACACTGCCCCTTGCAGAGCGCAGTGCTGGCAGAGTCCAACTTCTCTGATTTGATGGCCGGCTAGCCCGGCCCCTCTCCGTGGCGGAATCCTCTCGCCGCGCGCCTTTTCAAGGCATTCACTCAATCCCGCACCATCGCAGCCCGCGCAGCCATCGGGGCACCGAGCCATCGCACACTCGAATGATTGACCGAGGCGCCCCGCTCCCTCGGCGAGAGCGGCCGGGGATCGTTCATAAGGCCCCTGACCTTCAGTTGGAAGAGAGAGAGAGGGGGGGGGGGGAAAGAGGGTCGGAGGCACAGCACTTCGTGGCGGACAATAAAAACTAAGAACGTCGAGAAATAAATTGTGATGAAAAATATAATGGGTACAACGGCGAAAAGATAGGAAGTATAGTGCATGACTGTGTGGTGAAACACAAAAGAAATATGATTGTGAGAAAATGAAAGCACTTGTTTTCGTAAGTAATTAAACACCAGGTATTGGCTAAAAAATTTTAGTTTCCGAAGTGGGCCTCCCTTGCGGCTTGCTGAGACACTCGCAGCGCGTAGTTAACCATTGTAGCATCGTGCGCCAATCACGTCGCGTTGCTTATTAGCAGACAGCCGAGCCCCCCACCCCTCGTTGAACTTACCTCCCCCTTCCACTTCTCATTATGCTTGCCTCCAGTTCAGGTACAATTAAATCGTAATCCCGCCTTCTTTCCTGCCGAGTGCTTACTCTCGGTATCAAATTGGCCGCCCAGACAGACATTCTCCCTCTCTCTCTCTCCCTCCTCTTCTGCCGCGAAAGCGAGAGGTCAACAGCTAGGCCATTACAGGCCGCGCCACGCCGCCCCGGCGTTTACCGGGCCGAAAAATAATCTCGGAAATATGAAAGAAAAACGCTAATAAATAAGGCGCAATTGCAGGATAAATCTCGGACGCGTCACCTGCCCCCCGCTGGAGCGTATTTGGGGAGCGTCTTCCTGGAACAGGGCCTCACTCTCCGATACAAGCAAGAGCATTTCCGACCCGCTTCAAAGAGGCAAAAAAAAAAGATAATAAAAAATACTGCGAAAAAAAGACAGCAGCGTTCAAAAATACGTCTCGAAAACTGATAACGAAATTCGGGCCCAGTTTCGTTTCTGCACAACGAGCAGAAAACTGAAAAAAAATAAAATAGAAGGGTCCGTTCCGCGCGAGGGGGCTTCAGGTGCTGCGAGGCGGCGCGGCTAAGTCGCGCGGGAATATCAGGGCAATAAGCGAAAGAATAACGAGGGCCCGTCTCTTCCTATTAACCGCCCACTTTTCCCCTTGCCGGCTTCGAGCTGCCGAAAGTGAAGCGCCCCCCTCCCCCAATACGTTTGTCTCGGCCGGCGCCTTCTTATTTCGGTACTTGCCGGAATTTGTGTTGAGCGGTTTATTTGCGGGCGGAGCGTTCGCCATTACACGCGCACACAATCTCATGTTTAAAATTAGCATTAATGTCAAAAGCGCGGCGCTGGCTCTGGGCGTGGCGCGCGGCCCCGGGGCCTGGACCAGGAGGGAAGGAAGGAGAGAGAGAGAGAGAGAGAGAGAGAGAGAGAGAGAGAGAGAGAGAGAGAGAGAGAGAGAGAGAGAGCGAGGAAGGCGTCGTTGGCAAGTTCGAGGTGAGAGTTAGTACCGACCGGCCCAATCGCCGAGCGGCCGAGCAGTGGGGCAGAAAAGGCGGTTTTTCGCGTCTTTCGCCTATTTTCTTTTTTTTTTTTATCAAAGTGAAAAATGTGTCGAGAAAAAAAAAATGTATTCCGAGAGGGCGAAAAAAAAAAAGGATTTTACACGCGGTGATTGAAAACGGAGATTGAGATTTCCCTTAGTCGGGAAACAGTCTCATGGAATAGGTGGTCACATTCCCCCCACCCTTCGCAAAGCACCCTTTTTTTTCTTGAAGGAAAAGACATTTTCTTGTGACTAGGGTTTTCTTTTTTCACAAAAAACAAAGGAAATTAAAAATGAAGAAATGCTTTTTTCGGGTGTAGTTACCTGTAGACGGGCGGCGGGTTGGCGTGCGCCACGCACGGCACCACGACGCTCTCCTCGACGCGCGCCGACACGGTGGACGTCGTCTCGTGCAGGATGGGCGCCACGGGCCGCCGGGCGTCTGACAAACACAAACAAAAACATCAAACGGGGCGGCCGCGTCCAAATCGCGGAGCCCAAGGCGGGGCCAAGGCGGGGCCCGCGGGTTAGCATAGTCCTCACCACGTGCGGCGCCGCTTCCACCCTCCCCCTATGTCACTGCTTGCTTCACCCCGCCCCGCCCCGCCCCGCCCCGCGCCTGCCCACGACAGCGCACAACTCGGATAAAATCCCATTTCAGGCATGTCAGGTCACCGCAGACGGACGGCAAGGAGGAGAGGATGGGGAGGACCGAGGCGCCCGAGGAACGCCGTCGTCACCGCAAGAGAGAGAGAGAGAGAGAGAGAGAGAGAGGGGGGGGGGTGAAGCAAGGGGTAGTATGTGTGCCCCGCCGCGAAGGCCGGACCCCCGAACTAAGAACAGCAGCGGCGGGGCAGGGTGTTTGACCCGCTTGTTTGGCTCTGGATCAACTGAATATTTACTCGACCGGGGGGTTATATGAGCCCCTCCCTGTGCCCCCCCCCCCTTTCCAAGCTCCGGGGACGACATGGGGCATACACAACCGCAGGGAAGCGAGTCGCAACGAACATATATACACGGGGTCCTTGGGGCGCTAAAGGGGTGGGGAGGTGGGGCGGGGGCCAAGACAAAGCGACGTGTGCGCGTGTGTGTGCGCGCCACCGTCCAAACGCGACCTTCCGCCCGACCAGACGCACACACACACACACGCTCGTACACATGACAATAACACACATGCACACACCCTACACGCAATCTTTTTCTCTCACACCCTCCGAAGCGAGCGCGCGTAGACACACGCAAACACCACACAGGGCGTACTTCCGTCTCTGTCGCGCACATACACACCTTCATACACCTTCACACACACACGCACACACACACACGAACGCGCGCGCGGATGCGATATGCGTCCATCCGGGCCACCCTCGCCACCCTCGGCGCCGTGCCGCCGTGCCGCCGTGCCGCCGCCACAGATGCTGCCGGGTCGTCGTGGCGCGAGTCTCATGAATTTCAAAATGCAGCGCGCACCGCGTCGGCGGCGTGGCGGTGGCCTCGACGCCAGGGCTGCCCTGGGCCGGCCAGCCCCGCCACCCGCTGCAGCGGACTGATTCCGAGAGCGTCGCGCTGTCTCCCTCGCACTCATGGGGCCACTCGTGTAGGTGCGAGAGAGACAGGCGCGCGCCGGCGGGACAGATTCGCCTTTTCCGGGCGATGGCGCGCCGAGGCCGGCGGGGCCGGCGACGCGTTCCGCTTCCTGTTGCCTCCACTCCACCCACCCCGTGAGGCTGAGGTCGTGGAGGCCCCGTGGAGGCCGTGGAGGCCGTGGAGGCCGTGGAGGCCGCGAGGAACAAGGATGGATCGGCGACACGGCGTGGCGCGGCCTGGCGGCCTGGGGGCGGTTTGGCGGGGAGGGGTACTTCTCGGGCGGGGGCAATCGGTGTCTGGCGTGGCTGCGCCGGCTGCGCGTAGGCGGGGACGCGACGGCAGATGTGATTGGATGCGAAAGGCGAGGGGAGAGACAGAGACGGAGAGAGCAACGGTTGAGACGGCGGGGAAAGAGAGTGGAGCGTGCGACAGTGTGCCGCCCGCGACGACGGCGAGGGGAACGGCGAGACTGTTTTAGAGTGTGGCAGCGACGAGCTTTAGCCGGGGTAGGTACAATGCAAGCGATCACAGGTGCACCACCGTAAAAAAAAGGTGCGGGCAGAAACGGGGACGTCGCTCGAAAGCTGATTGAAAACGTGGTTAATACACGCATCATTCCAAGCCTAATCGAAGCCAGAGCCTCGCACTTCCAACCGCAGCTGGGGAGCGGCTGGCCTGGGCTGGCCCCATTTACCGATTTACCGGCTCGCAACTCGACAAAGGTGCGCTGGAAAAGGGCTGCTCGAAAAAAAGCAAGGGAGACAGAGAGGCGGGGGCGGCGACCGGGAGCGGCGATTCAAACTTTTATCACGGCCAGGACCGACCACACATCGGCCATGCACCTTGATGCCCGGCCGGTCCCGGATTGGAGGAACGAAAACGGAATGCCGGATCACAGGCCGCAAGCCGAAAGCCCCGAAGGCTGAAAGCCAAAAGCTCGGAGGGCTAAAAGCGGCCGAAAGCGGCTGAAAGCCCGACCGGGTGGCTTCTGCGGCATTCGCTGCATTAACCAAACGGACCGTCGAACGGCGCTGCCACGGCACTGCAAAACGACCCACCGGCGTCGCGGACAACGGAGGCCGCGCACAGTGGGGAGTGAAGGAGGTGAGATGCGGAGTTCTAGGAAAACATCGACGAAAAGTCTACTTGGCTTTCTTTTGGGAAAGGATTCCAACAGCACGCTGAGACGGAACCACAGCAACAACAGGCGGCGGGGCGGGGCGGGGCGGGGCGGGGCGGGGCGGGGCGGGGCGTGCCGGTAATCGGGCGCTCCCTTTGAGCCGGACGGGATCTTCATCAGAACAGACAGGCGGGGTGGCGCGGCGTGGCGCGGCGTGGCGGCGGCGTGAACAGCCACACCCAAGAGGCGCCTTGTTCTTTGTCACAGGCCCCGCTTCCTTCTTATGGATGGAGTTTTGTTGTTGTTTCGTCCTTTGGGATGAGCAGCTGCCGCGCTCAAGGGCCTGGACGTCCTGGACCGAGTCCTGGACGCACTCCTTGGCGTGGGACACCCTCGGAAAGGGGCCATGAGGAGAGTCCTGCCAGACACTCTCCAAGCGTCCCGCCCGGACGGAAGGCAAAAGCTACAAGTTTTTCCAAAAAAAAAAGTCACCCAAGCTTTAGCGGCTCTAGATTATCTCGTCGCGCAGGTAAACAGGTTCTCCTCATTCAAACTCTTTATTTTTTGTTGGGTTGGCAATCGTGTGGGCACTTCCCGCGGGACTTATCAAACTCTTTACGGCGCGTCGGTTTCAAATGAGCCGCGACGCCTTCATTTTCCCCACCGTTTTCCAGGGGACTCGCCCTTATCGCCACATTCCAGTGCCTCTCCAGCGCCTCTCCAGTGCGGGCGACACACTGCCACGCCTCCGCACGCGCCCCGACGCGTCCCGATGCCGCAATAAAAACATTCTGCGTATCGCGGGGGCGGTGCCTCGCCGTGCCTCGCGGCGCCGCTTCGCACCAGTGCGGCCAGAGGCGCGCGACGGTGGCGCTGCCGGAGCATTCCGGAACCTCCGAGAATGCAAAACACTTTGAGTCTCCAAAGCAAACATCAAACTGTGCGCGCGGGGCAGGGAAGGGGCGCTGCGGTGGGGATTTGAAGGGAGACGGTGCCACGACAACATCCTTTCTCTCTCTCTCTCTCTCTCTCTCTCTCTCTCTCTCTCTCTCTCTCTCTCTCTCTCTCTCTCTCTCTCCGCCCTGTCCGCCCGCAGCCTCCTCGTCCGATATTATTCCCCGTCGCGCTCTAATTGCGTTACATTTCAATGTTTTCGTTTTCCAGAGTAATTACATTCATTTGTTTAGCGGCGTGTGCCGGGCCCTCCTTTAATTGACTGTTTGCGGCCGCCCCGCCCCGCCCCAGTCATCTTTCTGGCCGAGAGGCGCGTCTTGAGGCCTCGCGGCCCGCGCGACACGCCGCCATTTTAATTAATTTCTGCAGAACGACAACGACGACGGCGCGCGCTGCAAACCCGGATAAGACCCAGAGCAATCCCGGATAAAAACCCGGCGAGCAATCCCGGATAAAACCCGGAGCAATCCCGGATATTACCCGGAGCAATCCCGGATAAGACCCGGAGCAATCCCGGATAAAACCCGGAGCAATCCCGGATAAGACCCGGAGCAATCCCGGATAAAACCCGTAGCAATCCCGGACAAAACCCGAGCGAGCGCGCGGCCTAGCGCCCGCGGAGTCCAGGGTAGGCCGGCCCGCGGCACACTGGCGTCTCGCGGGCAGGCCTATCCCGCTCTCCGCAGGCGCCCGCCTGCTCATCAAACTGCAATTTAAACAAAAAATTTTAAAGGATTTTCCAGTGGCGTACCTGTGAGCTGGATGCGGCCCGCGTTGGCGCTGGGCACGTTGCGCTGCGTGAGGCGGTGGTGGGTGCGGCAGCGGAAGGCATGCCGGGCGTCCTGCTCCGAGATGTTGAGCACCAGCAGCTCGCCCGTCGGCAGCATGTGGTACTTGCCGTCTGCAACAACAAGCAAGGGGTAAATCGAGTGGATAACGCCCTCCACAAATGACGTAACACTCGCAGCGCGGTCGTCAAAGTGGGGCCGCCTCGCGCGGGACTATTCCAGAGCAGACCGTCGTCGTGCAGCACACTATAAAACCCCCCCAAAGTGCACGCAGGTAATTTTTTTTTTACAGTGAAGTACACCGTCTCGAATTGCCTCCCCCTCCCGTTTTCCTCCACGGCGAATGAAAGACGCTCGTCCAGCGGAACAAACGAACGGCGTGCCGGAGTGCAACTCGGTGCACTACACTGCTCGATTTGGCTAAACGCCAGGACCCCCCCCCCCCCGGTGACTTCCTTACGCTGAATGTGTGACGGACGTGAATTTATCGTCTGGAGCCGCTTGCCTGTTGTGCGGTTATGACAGTAACGGCGAAACTACTCGGCGGGGCGACGACCCCGCGTGGCCCCGCGCGGCTGCCAACCTCAAACCCTCCAACTCTCAAACCCTCACTCGAAGAGCAACGTTTAAGCCGGTTTGACTGACCTTTTTCTTTCCAACAGACTTCTGAACGAAAAGATGCCACAATGCGCATGGTTGCGTTCCAACCTGGGTCCATGGTAAAGTGGCAATTTTACATTATTTTCCCCGTCCTCTCAATTTCGGCGTCGAATCTGTCTTCATTCTGACGCCGGGGCGCTGCGAGGCGCCTTCTTGCCTTCCCTCTGCCGGGATGAAAACACAAGGCACCGCGCGCCGCGTCCAATGCATCGCAGATTTATTTCGGGAGTTGCTGGTATTTCAGGCACGATCTTTCGTTGAGGGAGGGGAGGGGGAGGAGGAGGAACTTGCACGGCACGCGTCGTCGGCCGGGGGGTTGCCGGGGGCGGTCGGGGGCGGCCGGGGGTTGCCGAGGGCTACCGGGGGCGGCCGGGGGGTCGTGAGATATGTTTGGAGGTCTTCATTTCCTGGTGCCAACAATGCCCGTGGCAGCCAAGCAGCAGTGATAATGGCTACAGCCAACTACACACAGCCGCCCTGGGCCGCCCCGCGCAGGGCAGCCGGCCAACACGGAGTGCTCTGGACTCCACCGCCGCCGCGAACGCCGTCAAATTGAAAATTAATGAACCGATGAAAGTGAAACGGACGCAGGCGTATACGCCACCGCCATCGAAGGTCCGTTCGGTTCGCTTGTCCCGCAAGAGGAAGAAAGTGTAGCTCGAGTAATGCAACCGCAGGGCCCCCGTGGCCGGCGGGGCGGGGCGGGGGGCGGGGCGGGGCGGGGCGGGGCGGGACGCCTCAAAGGGATAGTTAGGAGGTGTATGCCGGGAATCCAGTCGGCAGGGAGGCCACGCTTTGAGGCGCTCGGCCGTCTGTCTGTCTGTCCGTTCGGCCTATGGAAATAGGAGGCGTTCGAACGGACTGCCGATTGCGACGCGGCCCACACGGCCCACACGCAGATCAAAGGGGCGTGGCGGGGCTTCGGCGCCCAGGGAAGACGCCTCATGGACGAGCTCGTGGAGGACGTCAAGGACGTCGAGCAGGCCGACACCGCAGCCGGGCGAACCATTCCCACGAGTCGCTACGCAGCTACGCCACACGCGTGCGACAGAGACAGCGCCACAGGGCAGCCCGCAGCCTTGCGGCGGCGAGTGGTGTCTGACGGACACCTCGAGGTGAGGGCCCCGGAAGGCCTCCCCGTGTCGCTGGCGTCGATACCCCCGGCGCGGTTCGTCCCCGGGCACACACTGACGGAGTCCCTCGCGCGCGGAGTATCGCCGTGTCGCCTTGCAAGGCAGATGGCCACGCGGTGCTCGCGGCCCCCAGCTGCAGACGGCTTGCCGGACCCACTGCAGGCTGGCCCGCCCAATTCAATTCTCTGGACTCGATAAAACGGAGCCCCATCTGGGGACCGCGCGCTGCCCCGCCGCCCCCGCCGCCCCCGCCGCCCCGCCGGACCGCAGCGACTTTACCGTTTCCGTCGCGTTCACTCGCTTTTTACCGTAAATTTCCTGTTGGCTCGGCTGCCGTTTCGGCCGGAATGGAGTCGCTACACTGTGCGGCGCCGCGTCCAGGAGCGCAGCGAGCTTGTCATGTTATCCGGGAACACGTGTAGCTTAGAGGTGCGCCTCGCAGGGCCCGGCTGCCCTTGCGGCTTGCGGACAACGAGGTCCCGGCCAGATGGGTGATTCGGAGCGAGGTTTATGCTGTGTCGGCCCGGCCGAGGTCGCCCGCCAGCCAGGCAGGCAGGGCACAGTGGGCCAGAAGACCGGTGGAGGCGGCCGAACCTCTAGACGCGCTTTGAGCTCCAGAATCGCTAAACAGACCTCGAACCGAGCGTGTGACCCCACCAATGGATTCCTCTTTCAGAGAGCAATCCATTGGTGGGGTCACACGTTCGGTTCGAGTCCCATTTAGCGACTCTGCAGCTCAAAACGCTTCTAGAGTTTCGACCGCCTCCACCAGTCTTCTGGCCCACTGTGATACGTCGCCAAGCAGCGCAAGACCCTGTCCCCCCATCCCTTTAAAGTCAGCAGTGCGCGGCTGCGTTTCAATTTTCCGCCCGTCGTGCCGACTCGCGCCCTTCCGAGCGTGCGTTGCTGCGCTGCGCCGTTTCGCAGTGTGCGAGCGCCGAATAGAACGCGAAGGCGCGTCGATGCCGTCGCAAAGAAGTGAAAAGGACGAGGAGATCCGGTCGGGACGGTTGTCCGCCTGCCCGGGCTCAGCTTCTTTTTACAGTGTTTTCCTCTTTTTTCGGAACTTATTTTTAATGTCATTGATTAATTTATCACCGCGCGAGTTCCTCTCCTCTCCTCGCGCCGTCGCGTCTGGCGAAAGCGGGCGAGAGCGCGCTGGTGCAGCCTTGCTCAGCTTTCACAGTGCGCCGCCAGGGCGCGCCACTGGGTGATAACATTGTATCTTTACGGCGCGGACATCCGTCGCCCACGGTGGAGTGGGGTGCCGTGTATGGAGCCGTCGAGGGGTGGGGGGCTCCAATTTAACTAGGTGTGAGTGAGCGCGCCAATCTTCCCGGACGTACCACAGTGGGCCAGAAGACCGGTGGAGGCGGTCAAAACCCCGGACGCGTTTTGAGCTCCAGAGTCGCTGAATGGGACACGAACCGAACGTGTGACCCCACCAATGGATTGCTCTCCGTGCGAGGAATCCATCGGTGGGGTCACACGCTCGGTTCGAGTCCTGCTTAGCGACTCTGGAGCTCAAAACGCGTCTAGAGTTTTTGTCCATCTCCACTGGTCTTCTGGCCCACTGTGGGACGTCGCATGCGCCATCATCAGCAAGTCCGCGACGAC